GTGAAACAAATACACATGAAACAAATAAATATTTCATCCAGTTAACTTAATGAAATATTTAAACATTGTTATAATGGCAAAAAAATTCCTAATTTTTACCTTTCCTGATATATGTTTCTAATTTAATATAAATGAAAAAAAGTCAGAGATATAAAGTACAGAAACGGTATAATCTATGAGTTTCACAAAAACCAAACTTTTTGTTGGGCCTTGGAATGGGACGATGGTCTCTGTCCCCACCATACTGGATTTGTGTCAAGAATGATTATCAACTGACTCTTCACATTTTCTGAAAAGGTTTTTGTATAACTGGTAAAAAAAATCATATGCTTAAAGAATAGGATTGACGAACAGGTATGTAGAGTAAGTTATTCAACCTACCTGTCATTTTTAAAGCGACTCAAAATTTAGACGCATGTTCAACTTTCGTTTTTCAAAATTTCATATCAACTCAATCCATGATTCATTCGCAGAATTTACAACTAAGAATGCTACAAACCTTTGTAACATGAAATATTTAAAATTTATGATTATTTTAAAAATAAAAATAAGATCCTTATTCAATACAAAGATATATACACCGCAACACCCACATCTCTGAGCGATTACATTTGCATCGTGATGCGACTTAATGAATTCTTCAACTTTCATTTTCACGTCTGATGCAAACATGGACAATGCTGGTAAAATGCGTAATTTATGGCTCTATGTCATTTAAGATAACAGAGTTTTACAAAAAATTGTCTCATATATTTATTCTGAGATAAAAGACTTTCCCAAAGATCTATTTTTTTAAAATTCTGACAGCTGATTTGTCGATATGATTTTTTCTGCATCTGATGGTTAGGCTTTTTTAGCATAATCTGGGTACGAGACAGGTTTTCAGCATTAATTAACTGTTTCCTTGGGACAACTTTTAAGCGATAGAACATTTTATCAAGTTATATGTTAATAACGAAGATAAATAGTTGATATGTCAGGGATTTATTTAAATACCCTTTTCACATAAAAGAGGAAAAATCTCAACATGCATGTAAGTGCTGAACCTGTGAATATGCTATGAAAGTCTGGGGGCATGTTCCTCTGGAAATTTTCATAAAATGTTGCTAGAGTTTGCATTTTGAGAGCATATCTGGAGGGTCATTTCTAGAATTAGCATGAATTAATATATTTTAAGTGTTTCATATATGTTTTATCAGGATATTTTCTGTAACTAAAGGGGAAATTTTTGCATTTTTTTTCAAAATGGGAAAGGTACCACTTAGGAGTACTTAAAACAGCCTTGATAAACCACTGTATGCCATACACTGATTAGCAAACAATTTCAGTTGTTATCATCTGAACATGAATGGGAACAGACATGGAAAGCACTATGCTTATAATTACAGATGTAAATTTTATGTTGCAGTCATTTTGTCTTACTTCAACACACTGGTCAAAGAGGATCCAGATCTCTCAGCAGCTGTTGCAGCCATTAAAACTTTATTGCATTTCCTTGAAAACAACAAAAGTAGGATATTAAATTAAAGCAGAGAAGATATTCTCTACGAGCTCAATTTGTGTACAGAGACCATCAATGGTTTTATAATTTTTATGTCCATGTAATCAGAAAATTCGGGGCATATGGTGTTTGTTCTGTTCGTCCGTCTGTCTGTCTGGCTGTATGTTTGTCCGCAAAAACTTTAACATTGGCCATAACTTTTGATTGGTTGGACCTAAGGCTTTCATCTTTCACATGTGTATTCCTTGTGGCAAGACCTTTCTTTGGGGACTGAAATATTTAACCCCTTGACCTTGACCTTAGAGTTTGACCCACTTCTGCAAAATTTTACCACACTTTAACCTTAGCCATGACTTTTCTATGGTTGGTGTTAGGGCTTTTATATTTCACAGGTGTATTTCTTGTGATAAGACCTTTCCTTCAGTATCAACAAATTTAACCTTTTGACCTTGGAATTTGACCCACTTAAACTTCCCTTGGGTGTCAACAATTTTGACCATTTGACCTTTGAGTTTGAACTACTTTTGAAAAACTTAAACTTTGGCCATAACTTTTGAACGATTGGTACTAAGACTTTCATATTTCACGTGTGTATTCTTTGGACAAGACCTTTCTTTCTTTGGACACTAACAATTTTGACCTTGACCTTTGAGTCTGACCTCATTTTGAAAAATTAACCTTGACCATAACTTTTGAACAGTTGGTACTTCATATTTCAGATGTGTATTCCTTGTGATAAGGCCTTCCCTTGGGTATGAACAATTTTGACCTTGATTTGAATTTGACCTACTTTTAAAAAACTTTTACCTTGGCCATACCTTCTGAATGGTTGTTACTGGGGCTTTCATATTTTATGTGAGTATTCTTTGTGAAAAGACTTTCCCCTGGGTACCAACAATTTTGAATCTTTGACCTTGACCTACTTTTGAAAAACATTAACCTTGGTCATAGCTTTTGAACAGCTTGAAAAACTTTAACCTTGGTCATAGCTTTTGAAAATTTAGTTTAGGACTTTCATATTTCACATATGTTTTCCTTGTGACAAGACCTTTCCTTGGGTACCAACAATTTTTATTTGTTTTTCTTGACCTTGGGAGTTTGACTTGCATTTGAGAAACGTTAACATTTGCCATCAGCTGCCATAGGGGGGCATCAGTGTTTCACAAAAACATCTTGTTTTTTTTTAATTTTACAAATATAAGCTAATATTTATATTGTCGTCACACAAAAAAAAGTTTTGATAATGACCTTTTTTCATTAAACGTAATTTAGTACATTGCTTTATTCTTACTTGAAATGTTTATCCATACGATAGATGAATTAATGTACACTGAATAAATATATAGATTTTTTTTTTTAATAATCTCTTTCTGAAGTTGAAACATTGGCTGAAATGAGAGACAGACTGAAGGAGGCAATTAAGATATTGACTGAAACAGACAGTAGTACTACTTCTATCTCCTCTGCTGGAGAGCTCTTTCTTCGATTCATCACCCTCACTAGTCTGGAGCACCCAGTAAGTAACTGTGAAATAGTCTGTCATTATCTTACAATTAATTAAATCAGACTTAGAAGAATGTTTTGTTTGATGTTGTCAGATTTGGTGTTATAGTTCATGAAAAACTTTTTGGCACATCATTTTATAGGATGGAAAAAAGAGAAAACCATAGTATTATGACACTGGATGCTCTATTTGTTGTAAAAATATTGAAACATATTAGAAATTTTTAGAATAGGCTTCGTGGCTTTATCTTAGAAATATGCATTCCCAATCAAACTAAGGGGCAATTGCTGAAACTGGTACAGATTCTTCAGTGAATATGCATACATTCTTCAAAGACAGATAAAAGAAAGTTTAAAATTGACTTGAATAATGATATGGTCTTTAAATGGTTCAGCCAAATGTTTGCAAGTGTGTTTTTCTTTAACCTGTTGTAAATTACAGAACATACAGGATTGTCAGAGAATACTGGTAGAAAGAGGAAACCTTTTCCTGAATAAAATCAAGAACTCTCGTCAAAAAATTGCCAAACAAGCTCAGCAGTTTATTAGAGATGGCACAGTAAGTAAGGGGTAATATCTTATTCCAAAAATGTAGGTTTTCTAAGATGTTCAGAATTCTTGCTTTATGACTTACAAATCTACAATTTTTTATAACCTCATCTAAGCCGAAGGCTCAAGAAAGCTTTTCTGATAAAAATTTGTCAATTGTCTGTCATTGTCGTTGTCTACACTTTCCACAGTTTCATCTTCCTTTCCAGAACCACAACCACAATATCAACTAAACTTGGCATAGATGGTCTTTGGGTGAAGGGGATTCATATTTCTTCAAAAGAAGGACCAAGTCTTCCTTCAAGGGGAGATAATTAAGAATTTGTAAAAATTTAATGGCATCTTTCAAAAATCTTCTTTTCAAGAACCAATGAGCCAGGAAAGATAAAACTTATGCGAAAGCCTCATTACATAGTGTAGATTCAATATTTTTCAAATCTTGACCCCCCCCCAAAAAAAATGTAATTCTAGTAAAAAATCTAAAAGAAATCTTCCTTTCAAGAACAGCGGGAGCCATGATTAGTCTTATTTATGTGGAATCATCCCCAGGTAGTGTAGGGTCAAGTTTGTACAATTCTTGACCCCCTTGGAAAGGGTGGGCCATTATGGCATGAACAGCAAAGCTATGGTTAGCCATATTTTTGTAAAAGCATTCATAGATGGTAAAGATTCAATTTTGTTCAAATCTTGACCCACAGGGGTAGATTGGGGCCAAACTTACATGTATGTGATCAAAGTTTAACCTAAGAAATGTTTAAAAAAAATATCCTTAAAGATCTTCTTCTCAAGGACAGGAAAGTCATGACCGATCATTTTAATATGGAACCCATCCTCGGGAAGTGTAGATTCAAATTTGTTCTAATGACTTTCAAGGCTAGGGTGGGTCCATAATAGGAGACCACAGTTTTACTTTGTATCGTGATATATCACGATTTTTCCCCAAAATATCACAAAAATATCATGATATTTTTACAAGCAATTTTTACAATGATTTTAAATTAATATTCTTAATTTATCTTAAAAATATGCTGGAATAACATACTTTTCATATTTTTATTTACATAATACGTGTAATATAAAGCATGTTTGGATGGTAGGATGCCATTATTTTACTGTTTTCAACATTTTGTACACTTCTTGTAATTTGCAAGATTGAACAAAGAAATGAGTAATTTTTTAAATTAATAATTATGTTCCTAAATACCTGTATTTTAGTCTCTGTATCACAATACGTATGACCCCCTAATAGGGGGAATTCTGCTGATGAAGAACAGCATGCCATTGTGACTCGGGTGAACATTGTGGCCAATGGGATCATGTTACTTTATAGGACATTACCATAAAATTTTGAAAAAAGTAAACTGGTGGCTAAACTTATTCATTCTACTTGGTTACATGTAAATATAGATTAAGTATGTATTATTTTCATGATTTTTTTTTTGAGGAAAAAAGATTTGTTTGTGTTTGTACTACACACTAAAGAAGTTTTAATTCTCTTGATGTATAAATAGGACAATTAATATGATTGACCTGTAACTCTACATTTGCTTATTTCATTTTTTTTTTAAAAATTGTGACAGTGCTTTACTACTCCACAATTCTAAAATCCATTTTTCAGACTATCTTGACACACTCAAAGTCCAGAGTTGTTTTACAAGTGTTAAAGGAGGCCCAACAATGCAACAAAAGATTCCATGTATATGTAACAGAATCTCTACCCAACAAATCAGGGTATTTTGGTCTTTTTCTATCAAAATCTCTAAACTGACATTAAATCTCCTAAGCATTATTCTTTTAACCTAAGAGTTATTTCCCCTTACTCCTAAACTGATAAAATTTCAATAAACTGTTTTAATGATAAATGTACTGTAGATTACCAATTTTTAGCTATTCCTAATTATCATGAGATGGTGATGTGGAATCTATAAACAATTTGGAGACAAGAATTTCACAAATTTTGTTTAATGTCATATTTATTCTGTAATAATAAACCAGAACAGATGATCTTGTGTCATTATGTGAAAAAGTCCTTGCGAATAAAAAGTTATTTACAGTATTAACATCATCAATTGTTTTTCAATTTACCTAGTGTGGACACGTACAATGAACTTCAGAAAATGGAGATCCCAGCTACACTTATTTTGGATGCTGCTGTTGGGTAATTATTAACAAGATCATGTTTCAGATTAAATTTACACCAATTGGATGAAACCATAGCTTAAAGATTTTTTTGAATTTTGTACAAAATACAGATAGACATACAGTGCAATACTCAGTACTTTCTTCAAATTTGTACTATGTCTTGAAGTTTAAGTTTCTTTCATTAAAGATTAACAATTGAGAATCATACTTGTATACTTACAGTAAGTTGATCTGATACAGTCAGTTGCATGGTATACAGGTATTATTTATGTAGTACCATTGAAAACTAATAATAATGATATTTTGAGAACAGCATGTCATTTTGAGGACAGTGGTACCATCATGCACAATCATTTTGCTGGTGCATGTATTAGTTTCTTTCCTTTGTGACAGATATGTCATGGAGAAAGTGGACATGGTTCTAGTTGGAGCTGAGGGGGTGGTAGAGAGTGGAGGAATCATTAACAAGGTGAAGTAGAATATAGCTATTTTAGAAAAAAAATTACAGAACAGAGCAGGACAATCTTTCCTGTTAACTGAAAAGCTGACACTTTATTGCATTATTTTTTTTTACTACCCATTAGGACATTCTAAGTCCTAAAGATTGTTTCCAGATCCAATTGTTTGTTGATACTTTACAGCAAAACATGCTTATCACGAAGTGCCAAGGATGGACTTTTTTGTTCATTATAAACATGATTCATCATATCCAATAGGCTCACATATATTTTAATGCCAGAGAGAATGAAATTCACTTCGCTGAAAGCGTTAATTCATGTGTGTTTGCAATTAGCTTGTTTTACTGTATATAGAAATGAAAAAAAATATAATTAAATATGTTCAATAGAACTGAGCACAGCAAAATAAACATGTAACTGCTTAGGCTGAAATGTTATGCTGTTCTACACACCTATCCTCTTTCCTACAGATTGGGACATACACAATGGGACTGACAGCAAAAACCATGAATAAACCATTTTATGTGGTGGCAGAGAGTTTTAAATTTGCCCGTTTATATCCACTAAACCAACAAGATCTACCAAATGAATTCAAGGTATGACGAATTACCATACTGATGTTTTGTAGATCAGTATTTGATATCAAGTCCCTCCTTTGTTAAGGTTAATGTGCATTACATTTTTACCAGTGACAATTGAAAATATCAAATTAATATGATGAGTTAATAAATCAGGTAGATATAGTCCTATATACATGTTCATTTAATGCTTCTTCTGAATCCCGTTGTTTTCTTCCTTTTTTTCAGTACCATGCGAGCACCTTAAAATCTAGTCCAGACCTCAGGAAGGAACACCCACTGGTTGATTACACTCCACCGTCCTACATTACTCTGTTATTCACAGACCTTGGTATTCTCACACCCTCAGCTGTCAGTGATGAACTCATTAAATTATACTGCTAAAACAAGCGTCTATAATTCTTTATGTATACCTAAATATTCGCTAACTCCAGAGTGTCTTATATTAATTAAACAAAAAATTTATAACCATCATGACCATGAAGTTAAAAAAAACCTCTATCTACAAGCACAGCAAAAAACGGCTGGAAAACTATGATGGAATGACAAATGGAAAGGGGTAACACTATATGCCCTGGCCATTTCATGGCAGATGGAGAGAGCATAAAAAATTGCTGATAATGACAAAAGGAGTTACAGAGTAATTTTGATAGATAAAACCTAAAATCAAATCAGATGGATTGTAACTAAGATTTTAGAAGAGAAGGATACTTGCAAGAATTCACTCCATTGAATAGCATTGGAGTCACAGATCTGTATAAAGCTATTGCCAAATGGGGCATTGATACATGTACATGTAGGTAATGTAATGTATTCATTCTCTATAGTATTAAGTATTTCTGGGAAGTAAAAATGGAATCAAACTGAATGAAAAAAAGGTATTATAAAGTAAACAAGAAATTGGTGGTTATCAACTCAGAGGTGTTTAAACTCTAGTAATAATACTTCTAGATCAAGCCCTATAAATACTGTGTCAGTGATCAGACACTCTTGAGGGAGAAAAACAACAAAATTAACTACAAAAGTTTCGATTTAATCAAATACACATTTCTCTTGTAAAAGACATTAAGAATAAATCTTTAATGTACAATAAAAATTCTTAAGACATGATGGTGCATATACAGTGGGCAGTAACATGACTATAGATATAAGTTTTGCGTATCTCTATTTAGAAATTTATAAGTAGTAGCTGATATAAAAGTTATTAATGTCATTTTCTCCTTTTTCCATATACATTTTGGATATGATAATTTAACTTTAAGTAAAACTTATGTGCATAGATGAATTATAAAATTAAATATAGAATTTATGTAACAACTTTATAAATACATGTACATGTATCACATATTGAAAAAAAAGTGTTACATGTATAAACAAGAATTTATTCCTTATGAAAATAGTTCATCATACAATTTTAGTATCACAGTAATATCATTAGTATCACAGTTAGTAATATCACCAGATTGCATATTACATATACTCATACGATGCCTGTAATAGACAGTCCACAAGATGTGTGAGATTTTTCCCAAGCTCCAATTGTCTGATGTAGGGTGTCCATTTTGATTTGATATTCTGCAGATGAATGTACGCTTCTGGGGGGAAATCAAACTGGATACCAACAGGATCATCCATACACTGCAGCTGAACAAGAACTGAAGATGCATCAAGGGATATCTCCATAATGTTCTCACACTTGCACAGCCATTTTGGTAGTCTTCGTTGTTTGAACTCGTGCATAAACCAGAATATGCCAACCAAAAATGTACAAAATATAGGGAGGCCTTCATCTTGAACAGATTTTGCTGTAAAAATATTTTTTAAAAAATCACAGATAAGTTCATCACAAATAATAAAATTATAGTCTATAATACGTAATTGATATACATGTAGCAGTTTTCAGTAAGACTCAGTCAAAGCTTCAAGCAACATTTTCTTCTATCTGAATTCATGTTAAGCTTACATTATCCTTCATCTTAATATCACTTGCAGAAAAAGATATTGTTTCAACCATGCATGTCTGCAGTACATGGTAATCAAGTTCTGTGTTACAACATTAAGTTAGTAGAATTTGCATAAAAAAGTGTTTACGCAGTGAAAGGAGTCCCTGCTTTTTCAGTAGTTGCTCCAATTTGAATTGATCAACTCCAACTGCTTTCAATACATCCAAGTTCCACAGTCCAGCCTACAAAGATTAGTACTGAGGCTGAATGTTTTACATGTAGTGACAATATTTTACCAAATTCTCTAATGTTTTGTTCACAGACCAAAGTTTATAGGAAACATTTAGCTCTTATTTATCTATTACAAAAAATGAGTTTAATCACATTATGAAGCTCAACTAACAAATGTCAGCTAAAAATAAGGTAAAGTTTCGCACCAAATGAATAGCCTGACTTATATTTACAAAAACTGGACCTTCTTCCAAAACTTTAAACTGTTTAGTCATCTGGGAAATGTAGTCAAATGTAACATCCTATTAAAGACATACGCAACATAGTTTGAACTTTATTGTCTTTTTACCTGAAGTTGAAGAGTTCCAATACTTAAAGGAACTGTGTGTTACATTTTAATGTCTATATATGCTATTGTGCACTTCTTTTTAAACAAGTTTGGATAAACAAAACATCTAGAATATATGTTTAGTAATTTTTGTATATTTTGCTTTGAATTATACAAGAATTTTCATCAATTGATATATTTTCAAAACCCCTGGTAAGGCATGCTGATTTTTTGTATACGATCTTCTGATGGCATTCAAGAATATCTTGAAAATTTATCAGTAGGTAAGGTACGTTGCGTATTGTCCTTAAACAAGTGTGGTCAGGAAAGGGCATAAAGATCCTTAAGACTGGACCTGCTCCAAGAATGTTAACCTGTTCATTCATCCTGTCTTAGAGAAAAAAGGTCATATAATACAGTATCTAAAACCTGACTTTCTAGTAGTTTGCATCTCTTGATGCATAATTTATGTCAGATTTGTCAGAGGAGGAGTTACTGTAACTCGGGAAATGGACTGCTAATACTTTTATCTGTTGAAACATTCAGAAAATGTAGGTCAGATGCAGCATCCAAAGCATGCTTGGTAGTGTGCATCCCTAATGTAGCCTTCATGCATATTTGTCTGGATAGAGTTTTTTGTTTACTTGGAATTGGACTTACAAAGAAACTTTAACCTGGGAAAGGTGTGTGTGACATAATTACACACAGGTATATGTACTTCTATATATGCAGGGTTGTCCCTGAGACCTGGGGGAATTTCCCTGCCTATAATGATGTTTTCCCCCGGTTATTTTATTATTCCCCCTAAACTCCCCATTAAGGGAGGAATCCCACATCCCCTTCTACTTTTTAAATGTCCCCTTCTATTTCAATGCTTAGGACAACCCTGTATATGTACATTGATTTATCTCTCATGGTGTTTTTCATTTGTTTAACTGTTCTGAACACTGTTGTAGTTGTCACCCATTGACTTTCTATTTACTCTAAAATCACATATTTTCATGGGGTCAAATTTTCAACGTTTAAGGAAAAAATATTGGTTTGTTGAGATATGATTTTGTGGTTGGAGAAGTATAGAGTACTTATGCATATAAAATTTTACATTTCTTGGTGGTCAAGAATTCGTGGATCTTTTCATTCCTCAAAAACAATGAAACTTAACAATTAACCCCCCCCCCCCCCCCCCCCGTGTATACTGTGAAGTCATTATTTTTCATCAGGGTTTAAATTTCATTGTTTTCGTGAGACCCATGAAATCATGACCACCACGAAATGTTAAAATTTCTTACAGTGCTATAGTATAATGTGTCCCCTTTAACCATGAAATTAAATCCCTTTGAATCAGTAATTTTTCTTCAAATCATGAAAAATATGTGATTTTACAGTATTGAAAACATAATCCACGTTAAATGATTTTCTTTACACTGCTTAACAAGTCCTGTCTTCCCCTTTAAGATAATACTCTTACAAATTTAATGTCTAAATTCCTGTTGGTATGTCACAATTTGACACGGCATGCTTTTTTTAATACATGTACAATGTACCTCATTAAGGGATGGTAGTTTGTCCAGATCCATTTCAATTGGTGATTCTTTCAGGCCCTTCCACATATTTATGTATGGTTCATCTGTCATAAAAACTAAATGTAAGTATGTGATCAGCTGTGAAACAAGAGGCCCATGGGCCACATCGCTCACCAGAGCACATTGGCTTGGCAAAAGCACAAATCAGCAAATCAGTTCAGTATTGAAAAGATTACCGGGGAGGGGCTTGAATTTTAAACTACCTGATGATGCTTCCATCTCAATATAACAAATGGCTATGTTGTACTTGAGAAGATTTAAAAAAAATTTCCCATATATTTCTTTGTAAAAATTGTGATCCCCCCATTGTGGCTCCTCCCTATCCCAGGGGTCATCATTTGAACAAACTTGAATCTACACTACCTGAGGATGCTTCCATATCAATATGACTGAACACAGCTTTTCTGTTCTTGAGAAGAAATATTTTTCCTATGTGTTCTTATGTAAAATTTTTGATCCTGCATTGTGGCCCGACCCTATCCTTGGCGGTCATCATTTTAACAAACTTGAATCTACACTACCTGAAGATGCCTTCATATCAAAATGACTAATCATGGCTTTGCAGTTCTTCAGAAGAAAATATTTTCCTATATATTTCTATTTAAGACTTTGATCCTCCATTGTGGCTCAAACCTACCCCTGGGGGTCATGATTTGAACAAAATAGAATCTACATTACCTGAGGATGCTTCCACATAAATATGATAAATCAGGGATTTGCTGTTCTTGAGAAGAAGATTTTTAAAATGTTTCCTATATATTTCTATGTAAAACTTTGATCCTCCATTGTGGCCCCACCCTACCCCCAGGGTCATGATTTGAATAAATTTGAATATACACTACCAGAGGATGCTTCCATATAAATATGACCAATCAGGGCTTTGCTGTTTCTGAGAAGAAGATTTTTAAAGATTTTTCCTATATATTTCTATGTAAAACTTTGATAGTCCATTGTGCCCCCTACCCCCGGGGGTCATGATTTGAACAAACTTGAATCTACACTACATGAGGATGCTTCCACATAAATATGACTCATCATGGCTTTGCTGTTCCTGAGAAGAGGATTTTTAAAGGTTTTTCCTATATATTTCTATGTAAAACTTTGATCCTCCATTGTGGCCCCGCCCTACCCCCGGGGGTCGTGATTTGAACAAACTTGAATTTACACTACCTGAGGATGCTTCCATATAAATATGACTCATCATGGCTTTGCTGTTCTTGAGAAGAAGATTTTTAAAGATTTTTCTTATATATTTCTATGTAAAACTTTGATCCTCCATTGTGGCCCCGCCCTACCCCCGGGGGTCATGATTTGAACAAACTTGAATCTACACTAAATGAGGATGCTTCCATATAAATATGACTCATAATGGCTTTGCTGTTCTTGAGAAGAAGATTTTTAAAGATTTTTCTTATATATTTCTATGTAAAACTTTGATCCTCCATTGTGGCCCCGCCCTACCCCCGGGGGTCATGATTTGAACGAATTTGAATCTACACTACCTGAGGATGCTTCCACATGAGTTTCATCTTTCCTGGCCCTGTGATTTTTGAGAAGAAGATTTTTAAAAGATGCTATTAATTTTTCACTAATTCTTTATTATCTCCCCTTGAAAGGGGGCATGGCCCTTCATTTGAATAAACTTGAATCCCCTTTACCCAAGGATACTTTGTGGCAAGTTTGGTTGAAATTGGTCCAGTAGTTCTGGAGAAGAAGATGAAATTGTGAAAAGTTTACAACGACACCGATGACGACAACGACAGACAATAGACAAATTTTGATCAGAAAAGCTCACTTGAGCCTTCGGCTCAGGTGAGCTAATAAAAAGTCTGCATTCAAATATAATCCTGACCAAAAGTATATGAGTATTTCAGTTGATCATTAAGAGACAGCCAGCAGGAGATTCTAACAAACCTGAAGCAGCCATTTCCTTCTTCTTGTTACAATGATCAGCTACCTGAAATTTATTATTTATAACTTAATAAATTCTAACAAAACAATTTTATATTTTTTTTATAAACTAATACTTATTATCTCATTGCCTCCACAAGCAAAAGCTAGTTTTTAGAAATACAGAATAAAGGGATATTTTAATCTATAATGATTTCTTTAGATCCATGTTTTCTTCTGTTTCCCAACACGAGGCCCAAGGGCCTTAACAGTCTCCTGAGTATAATACACAACCCTGTGAAGGATTCATGGAATGGTAAATAACTATTTAAGTAGAGAAATAGGATGATAAGGTATAAACAAAATAGTTAGTGTGGTAATCAGCGACAACACAGAAACTTGCCCGTATAAGCCAGTGCTATCTTCACTTTCCAACACGTTTTAGCACACAATATTCACATAGTAAGCCCAGCAGTATCCCCATACCATGGTATTTGAATAATACTAAATGTAGATATATAAGGCATACTTGGCTCATTTTTATTCATCTATTATTTACAAGTCTACCTAACTACCAAAAACTCCAAAAATACCTTTTGCATTGCAACAGGGTTTTATACAACATTAAAAAAATCTTGTATAATTCTTTTATTCAATTTACATATCAATAACATTATATACACTGTATATCATCAAAGGTTTATCACTAAGGGGAATAACTTCTCTTAAAGCAGAGTAAAACTTTATATACATGACCGTATTAGAGTCCCACCCTAATTCCAGAACCCCTGACTCAGTGGCCATGATTGCAATTTCACAATTTTGAGATAATGTCGGATACATGTATATACACAGGAGCAGAGAGCATTTTCAAAGAATTAATGCATTTTCACTCTATGATCAATAGAGCCCTGCCCTTATACCAGAACCTCTGACGATTTACAGTCAACTCGTACCCAAACCGAGTCGTACCCAAACCGAGTCGTACCAAAAGAGTCAACACTATATAATGATATACGATATGATGCCATAAAATTTGTAAAGTTTATTATGGTTATATCCATAATGTTTATTACTTAAGTGAAAAAAAGATTTTTGAAATGTAAAATTTACGTTTCACAATTTGTTTTTTGTGTGTTGTTGTTTTTATGTTTTTGTTATCTTATAGTGTGACAAAATCAGAGAAATCAGAACTATTTATATAGTTATTAACAATACACATAAAGAATAAAATACAAGAATCATACAAACTTATATATTTACCCTTGAAAACAATTAATTGTTTCTTTTTATGATTTAATTTTTGACATTTGAGCTTTGGGTACGAGTTGACTCTGGGTTTGGGTACGACTCGGTTTGGGTACGAGTTGACTGGATACCCCTCTGACCCAGAGCCATGAATTTCACAATTTTGGAAGAGGCACCTTTGCTCATCATAACCATAGTTTGTCTGCTAAATTTCCAGAACAGAGAAGACTTTCCAAGAATTAATGCATTCTCACATCATTTGATAAATAGAGCCCCACCCTTACTCCAGAACCCCTGACCCAGGGGCTATGAATTTCACAATTTTGGAAGAGGCACCCTTACTTATCATATCTATGCACTTTGTTGTCTGCTAAATATCCAGGGTATTCCTAAAAGAAATATGCACCCAACACTAGAACTCGATCCTGACTCTGAGACCATGAATTTCGAAATTTTTGTAGAGAACTCAATCCTTATTAAAATCATGCCTGCAGTTGACTGCTTGAAGTGTAAGAGGGAAAAAAAAAGATTTGGAGAAATGTGAATATTTTGAACTTGCACCAAGTCAGAATTTGTTTAAATATTGAGAAAGCAATTCAACCTTAACCTTTCTAGATCTTACCTTGGCTTTATGTTGTCTGACAAGGGACTGGAGTTGAGTGGCCACTGCCTCACAATCTGCTGGGATAAGAAGTGAAACGGGTCGATGGGGGTATGTCTTCACTATCAGCAAGAGTGCAAATTCCCCTGTTCTATGCCTGGCTTCAATACAACCCATCTGCAGAGCAAATATACAAACTGATCTTAAAAGATATTAAATAATATTGAAAAATCAACATTCTATTAAATATCATTGTACGAGTAACTCTCGATACATTGAAGTCTGCAGGACAAAGGAAATGAAATGAGAGATCAAGAGTTCAAGTTTTCAAGTGTCCGGAATTTTCCGGGTTGGTTGACAGGTTTTAAAATTAGTCTTACCGGATTAATTATTTTTATTTATTTCAAGTGCTAATCTTACACACTTGATTTTAAATAAAATAATGATACTATTTTTTTTGTCATGAATAATTTTTTAACCATATAAAGCAAAAATTGTATATTCATTTGTCATAATATTTATTTATTCTTTGTAAGATGAACATCAAACTACACATTTGTAACATAAAAACGACGTTGTGGCATTGACTTTTTATATATCTTAATCATACCAAACATTGAACACAGTTCTGTAAGTATTTGTTCCCCAATAGTCATCATAATGACGTTGATGCTGTTATGCATAGTTTCTACATTTTAATTACTCATATAATTTGACACTGACTCAAATTAGTGTCCATAATCAATTTTTACTTTTCACAGCGTCAACAAATTATTGTAAGACAGTTGATGTTAATTATCTTAAGAACAGATAGGCAAAATATGATCAATTATCAATCAATTATATGTATCACCTTGTAGTACAAGTGTCACCTGAATAAACATCCCGCTCCTCGTGTCCCTGCACCTAATACCTGGGGCAATTTAAATGTCCAGGTATAAAGGTGTTAATTATGTAATGATTGCATACACTTCGAGGAATCAAGGCTAAACTAGTGGGTATTGTTTTTTTTACAAAAAAACACGTCTCCCCTTCTTTACCAACATTAATGAGTGCAAATATATGATCAGGGTCAAAAATAATAATGCAGTGCATCTCAACTCAAATTCTGTGTACAAAATTTGTCTTCATGTCAAACAGATCTCAAGTAATGGTCTGGTTGTGTTTTTCTTAATTTGACCTTGAAGAAAGTGGTCAAGGTCAAATATTTTGATGCAGTGCATTTAGTCTCAATGTTGTCTTTCCTTGTTCCAAGTTTGAAATCCTAATGTCAAAAACTTCTCAAGTTATGACCTAGAAAATATTTTCATGTAAATGATTGACCTTGACTTTATTAATAGGTCAAAGTGAAAAAAATGTTGCCATTCACCCTTCCTCTATACCACCTCTCCATGTTCCAAGTTTGAAGTCTTAATGTCAGGGTTCTCAAGATATGGTCTAGTCATGTTTTCTCTATTTGACCTTGAAGAAAGGGGTCAAGGTCAAAATTTTGAAGCGTTGCATCTTGTAACAATGTCTTCTTTCTATGTTACAAGTTTGAAGTCCTAATATCAAAGGGTACTCAAGCTAAGGCCTGGACTCTATTTTGATGTAAAAGATTGACCTTGACATTATAATAATTGGATCAAGGTCAAAAAGTTTGGTGGCATGCATCCCTCCTTCATACCACTTCTGCATGTTCCATGTCTGAAGTCTTTATAACAAAGGATTGGTCTAATCAAGTTTTTTCCCTAATTGACCTTGAGGAAGAAAAGAGGTCAAGGTCAAAAATTTTGGTGTGTTGCATCTTGTATCAATGTCTTCTTTCTCTGTTACAAGTTTGAAGTCCTAATATCAAAGGGTACTCAAGCTATGGCTTGGACTCTATTTTGATGTAAAAGATTGACCTTGACCTTATAATAATTGAATCAAGGTCAAAAATTTTGGTCGCATGCATTCCTCCTTTATACCACCTCTGCATGTTCCAAGTTTGAAGTCTTAATGTCAAAAGGTTCTCAAGTTATGGTCAGATCGTGTTTTTTCCCTATTTGACCTTGAAGGCAGAAAGGGATCAAGGTCAAAATTCTAATGCAGTGCATTTTGCCTCAAGGTCTTCTTCCTATGTTACAAGTTTGAAGTCCTAATATCAAAGGGATCTCAAGTTATGGGCTGAACTCTTTTTTGATGTAAAAGATTGACCTTGACCTTATAAATAGGTCAAGGTCAAAAATGTTGGTGGCATGCACTCTTTCTCAATGTCATCTATCTATGTTCTAAGTTTGAAGTCTTAATGTCAAAGGGTATTAAAGTTATGGCCTGGACAAAATTTGGATGAAGAAGAAGAAGAAGAAGAAAATTGACAAGAACAATATGTCTCCCCTGGAAGGGGAGACATAATTCCAGTAGATTATGCATATCAGGACTGCATTTTGACTTTAAGGGATCAAGGGTTTTGAGAGATTTAGAGTTCGAGAGATCAAGAGTAATGCCCACCCCTGGTGTTCTTCAGAACATTGGCCCTACCCTATCCCATGTTCAGTGCTTCAATTTTTTATCTATAATGCTTGAATTATGATCATGGGCTGCTATATAAAACAAGAGGCTCAAGGGCCTTAACGGTCACCTGAGTATAATACAACAATTTAGAGGATCCATAGAGTATAAAATGAACTGAAAGGTGAAGCTTTGTTGCCCAAAAGCAAGAAAAATAGGATGATCAGGATCAACAAAATAATTTAGTCTAACATTCAGTAACAGTTCATAAATTAGGTTCTAATCTGTTCCCCATTTATCACCATCACCATACAGTATATCAACAAACTATCAGTGCTTCTATACTATTTTAATTCCTTGTTGAAAACTCTTACATTGGCCTCTCTTGGTCTTTGATGAACATTTAATAAGACAAGTTATTTTTGTCTCATTTTTATTTATCTATTACTTAAAAGTCTAACTGATCATTAAAACTATGAAAGTACTTTTTGTATTATACAATAAAAATTCTCTTATTCTATTAACCTTTCAAGTACATTATTTACAGTGATTAATTATCAAAAGTAAATGGCAAAGGGGAATAACTCCTCTCAGAAGAATACAAATTAATAGAGCCCTTGCCAGGACCAGAACACTTGACCAAATGGTCCAGATGTTCAAAAATCTGGTAAAAAAATACCCTTCCTTATTAAAACATTTACTCTTTTTGCCTCTGATATACCAAGGTGCAGAGAAGATTTATAAGGAAATAATGCATTTTTACTACAGATTCACTATATTATCAATAGAGCCCCCCTCCCCAGCGAGAAACACCAGAGCCTCTGACCCAGGGACCAGAAGTTTGCTCAGTATAAGTAATCACTTTGTTTATCTGCTTAACACTAAGGAGCAGACAGGATAATTAAACAGATTTAATGCATTTTCACTATATTATCAAGAGCCCCACCCTTACACCAGCACATCTGACCCAGGGCTCATGCAATTCACTACTCTGGAAGAAGCACTCTTGCTCATCATAACTATACACATAGCTTCTTTGCTTTTTAACCAAAAGCAGAAAGGAATATTTTCAAAGAAATTTTGCCTTTTCACTATATAATCAATTGAGTCCCCCTCCCCCCCCCCCCCCCTTTTCACCAGAGCCCTTGACCCTGGGGCCATGAAATTCACAATTTTGGAAGAAGCATCCTTGCATATCATAACAATGTACTTAGTTTGTTTAAATGATACCCAGGAGCAGAGAAGAAGATTTTCAAAGAAATAAATCACCTTCACTATAGGATCTATAAAGCCCTGCCCTAGCACCAGAACCCCTGTCCCTGGGGCCATGAATTTCACAATTTTGGAAGAGGCATCCTTGCTTATCATAACAATGTACTTAGTTTGTTTAAATAATACCCAGGAGCAGAGAAGAAGATTTTCAAAGAAATAATTCATTTTCACTATATAATCAATAGAGCCCCATCCTAAACCGGAACCCCTGATCCAGGGGCCATGAAATTCACAATTTTGGACTAGGCATCATTGCTTATCATAACTATGTATTTAGTTTGTTTGACTAATACCCAGGAGTAGAGAAGAAGAGTTTCAAAGAAATAATGCACTTTCACTATATGATCTACATAGCCCCACCCTAATACCAGAACCCCTGACCCTGGAGCCATGAAATTCACAATTTTGGAAAAGGCATTCTTGCTCATCATAACTAAGTACTTAGTTAGTTTATTTAATACCTAGGAGCAGAGAAGAAGATGTTCAAAGAAATAATGCATTTTCACTATATAATCAATAGAGCCCCACCCTAACACCTGAACCCCTGACCCTGGGGCCATGAAATTCACAATTTTGGATATAAGGCACTCTTGCTCTTCATAACTATGTACTTAGTTAGTTTATTTAATACCCAGGAGCAGAGAAGAAGATTTTCAAAGAAATAATGCATTTTCACTATATAATCAACAAGAGGCCCAAGGGCCTTAACGGTCACCTGAGTATAATACAACAATTTAGAAGTTAAATACACTGATAGATGAAGCATTGTTGCCCTAGCCCACCCACCCCCCTCCTCAAGAACCCCAAAAACTGAGGCCATATATTTAAAAATTTTGGAAGAGGCATCCTTGTCTATCATAATCATGCACTTAGTTTGTTTAAATAATCTCCAGTAGCAGAGAAGAAGTTTTTCAAAGAATCAATGCATTTTCACTATATAATCAATAGAGCCCCGCCCTAACACCAGAACCCCTGACCCTGGGGCCATGAAATTCACAATTTTTGAAAAGGCATCCCTATGCGTTTAAATAGTCTCCAGTAGCAGAGAAGAAGATTTTCAAAGAATCAATGCATTTTCACTATATAATCAATACAGCCCCACCCTAACACCAGAACCCCTGACCCTGGGGCCATGAAATTCACAATTTTTGAAAAGGCATCCTTATGCATCATAACCATGCACTTATTTTGTTTAAATAATACCCAGGAGCAGAGAAGAAGATTTTCAAAAAATTAAAGCATTTTCACTATATAATCAATAGAGCCCTGCCCTAACACCAGAACCCCTGACCCAGGGGCCATGGCTTTCACAATTCTGGAAGAGGCCCACCTCCTCATCATAACTACGTACTTAGTTACTTTATTAAATACCCAGGAGCAAAGAAGAAGATTTTCAAAGAATTAATGCATTTTCACTATATAATCAATACAGCCCCACCCTAACACCAGAACCCCTGACCCTGGGACCATGAATTTCACAATTTTGAAAGAGGCACTCTTGCTCATCATAACTATGTACTTAGTAACTTTATTTAATACCCAGGAGCAGAGAAGAAGATTTTCAAAGAATTAATGCTTTTTCACTATATAATTTATAGAGCCCCGCCCTAACACCAGAACTCCTGACCCTGGGGCCATGAATTTCACAATTTTGGAAGAGGCACTCTTGCTCATCATAACTATGTACTTAGTAACTTTATTTAATACCCAGGAGCAGAGAAGAAGATTTTCAAAGAATTAATGCATTTTCATTATATAATCAATACAGCCCCACCCTAACACCAGAACCCCTGACCCTGGGGCCATGAATTTCACAATTTTGGAAGAGGCACTCTTGCTCATCATAACTATGTACTTAGTTCCTTTATTTGATACCCAGGAGCAGAGAAGAAGATTTTCAAAGAATTAATGCTTTTTCACTATATAATCAATACAGCCCTGCCCTAACACCAGAACCCCTGACCCTGGGACCATGAATTTCACAATTTTGGAAGAGGCACTCTTGCTCATCATAACTATGTACTTAGTAACTTTATTTAATACCCAGGAGCAGAGAAGATTTTCAAAGAATTTATGCACTTTCACTATATGATCTATATAGCCCCACCCTGGGGCCAGAACCCCTGACCCTGGGGCCATGAATTTCACAATTTTGGAAGAGGCACTCTTGCTCATCATAACTATGTACTTAGTAACTTTATTTAATACCCAGGAGCAGAGAAGAAGATTTTCAAAGAATTAATGCTTTTTCACTATATAATCAATACAGCCCCGCCCTAACACCAGAACCCCTGACCCTGGGACCATGAATTTCACAATTTTGGAAGAGGCACTCTTGCTCATCATAACTATGTACTTAGTAACTTTATTTAATACCCAGGAGCAGAGAAGAAGATTTTCAAAGAATTTATGCACTTTCACTATATGATCTATATAGCCCCACCCTGGGGCCAGAACCCCTGACCCTGGGGCCATGAATTTCACAATTTTGAAAGAGGCACTCTTGCTCATCATAACTATGTACTTAGTTCCTTTATTTAATACCCAGGAGCAGAGAAGAAGATTTTCAAAGAATTAATGCTTTTTCACTATATAATCAATACAGCCCCGCCCTAACACCAGAACCCCTGACCCTGGGACCATGAATTTCACAATTTTGGAAGAGGCACTCTTGCTCATCATAACTATGTACTTAGTAACTTTATTTAATACCCAGGAGCAGAGAAGAAGATTTTCAAAGAATTTATGCACTTTCACTATATGATCTATATAGCCCCACCCTGGGGCCAGAACCCCTGACCCTGGGGCCATGAATTTCACAATTTTGGAAGAGGCACTCTTGCTCATCATAACTATGTACTTAGTAACTTTATTTAATACCCAGGAGCAGAGAAGAAGATTTTCAAAGAATTAATGCTTTTTCACTATATAATCAATACAGCCCCGCCCTAACACCAGAACCCCTGACCCTGGGACCATGAATTTCACAATTTTGGAAGAGGCACTCTTGCTCATCATAACTATGTACTTAGTAACTTTATTTAATACCCAGGAGCAGAGAAGAAGATTTTCAAAGAATTTATGCACTTTCACTATATGATCTATATAGCCCCACCCTGGGGCCAGAACCCCTGACCCTGGGGCCATGAATTTCACAATTTTGGAAGAGGCACTCTTGCTCATCATAACTATGTACTTAGTTCCTTTATTTAATACCCAGGAGCAGAGAAGAAGATTTTCAAAGAATTAATGCTTTTTCACTATATAATCAATACAGCCCCGCCCTAACACCAGAACCCCTGACCCTGGGACCATGAATTTCACAATTTTGGAAGAGGCACTCTTGCTCATCATAACTATGTACTTAGTAACTTTATTTAATACCCAGGAGCAGAGAAGAAGATTTTCAAAGAATTTATGCACTTTCACTATATGATCTATATAGCCCCACCCTGGGGCCAGAACCCCTGACCCTGGGGCCATGAATTTCACAATTTTGGTAGAGGGCTCAATGCTTATTACAATGGTGCCAACAGTTTGACTGCTTCATGTCCGGGAGTAAAGAAGAAGATTTTAAAAGATTGCATTATTTTTGGTGGTTTTAGCCCCACCCCTCAGGCCCCGGGGGGCAGGGACCATGAAATTCACAATTTTTGTTCCCCTTTACCCATAGATGCTATATACCAGATTTGGTTGAAATTGGTTGAGCGGTTCTAGAGAAGAAGTTAAAAATGTTCAAAAGTTAACGCACGACGGACGACGCACGACGACGGACAAAAACAGATAGCAATAGGTCACCTGAGTGACTCAGGTGACCTAATAAATAGAGCCCCACCCTAACACCTGAACCCTTAAGCCTGGGGCCATGAAATTCACAATTTTGGATAAGGCACTCTTGTTCTTCATAACTATGTACTTAGTTAGTTTATTTGATTCCCAGGGGCAGAGAAGAAGATTTTCAACGAAATAATGCACTTTCACTATATGATCTATATAGTCCCATCCTAGCACCAGAACCCCTAAGCCTGGAGCCATGAATTTCAAAAATTTGGTAGAGGGCTCAATGCTTATTACAATCATGCCAACAGTTTGACTGGTTGATGTCCAGGGGTAAAGAAGAAGATTTTTAAAGATTGCATTAATTTTGGTGGTTTTAGCCCCACCCCTCAGGCCCCAGGGGGGGGGGGAGGGACCATGAAATTCACAATTTTTGTTCCCCTTCACCTATAGATGCTATATGCCAAATTTGGTTGAAATTGGTTGAGCGGTTTCAGAGAAGAAGCTGAAAATGTTCAAATGTTAATGCACATCGCACGATGACGGACAAAAATGGATAGCAATAGGTCACCTGAGTGACTCAGGTGACCTAAAAAAAATTTTAAAAAAGGAAATAAAATATTGTGTTGATTGATCTGTATATGCATTACCAATTAGAAAATGTTGAGAGAAAAAGAAACATAAATAAGAGGTAACTGAGAAGAAATTTTTTTAAAAAATCTAATCAATAAATTGTGTCAATTTTTTTTATTAATATCATTGTATTGTCCAGAAATGCTTGAAAAGCGGCCTTAAAAGTGCTTGAGATATAATGTTGCTGGGCTGTACAGACCCCATTTAAAGACCAGAGAGAAACATGATACAGTATAACTTGTCTTATCTGGACACCGATGGTTCCAAAGAAATTGGCCGGAATAAACAACATTCCGGAGTAGATAAAATGTTTAACAATTGAATTTATTGAAAGGGACTTTAAGTTAACAGCTAAAGTTTAATGTTTAACAACTGAAAGGGACTTAAAGTTAACACCATATTAGGCAAAATATACAACTTTAGACAATTAAGTTTCACTAAATTACCAGTCCTGATGTTAGAGCTACATCTAGTTTGCTCAAAGATGGCCGGGCCTTTGATGGATACACAGATGCAGTTACTGAGTCCTCCACTAATGGCTGCAGGCCTGACATGTTCAGCAAATATTCTGGTACAAAATTCATGTACAGTGTATCAGGCCATTCGATACTGATTAATCTGCATAAAAAAACAATTACAAATGTAACAAATATTTATTCTAATTTTCAGTTGATGAAACTATCAGGGAAAAACTCCCTGATTTAATTTTTTACAACATACATTTTTTAATATAATAAAGAAAATTAGTTATCATGTGAAAAAATCTTAGGATGAAGTTTGTTCATTTTGGTCCCTACTTTTTTTTGTCTTTAAGACGGGTCCATAGTTCCACAAAAAAACATGTTTGTTTTTCTATGCTACCAGTTCCTTGCAGACAAAACAAAGATCCTTAAAAAGACATTTAAAATAAAAATACAACCATGCAACTTTAGTGAACATCCCTTGTATAATACTGTAAACTAATTTTTATTTGTATATGAGGAATATCCTCTACTTTTATGACTTCCTTTTACACATGAATATTTCTTGCCATGAACCACTTATTGGGTATTTACAATGTACATAGAATATATTAAGTATATTTTATCAGTCACAAAAATTAATAGTTTTGTATGGATTTCAGACTGATAAATCAAGAATACCTTTTTGTTTACAGTATCAATAAGTGAATCTTAACCTTTTTTAAAGTAATCCTCCCTCTGTTTGCTGCGAGCATATCCTTCAAACTGGTTTGGATAACTACAAATAGACTGCTGCAATTCTGTAAATAAAAGTAACAATTTAATTGATGTTCTATATTTTCCAGATGTACTATTATCCTAAAGAATGAAATATCTTTACCTTCTTCTGCAAGCTGAATTTCCAAGGTCTTCCACCTTTCTTCTGTAATATTGGTTTCCTTGTGATCATACTTAGAAGTATCAAAGCCTTCATCTCCATTTCTATCTCTTCCTTCTCTTTCATCCTTATCCAAGAATTCATCTCTCTTTCTACCATCTCTATCTCCATTTTCTAGTCTCCATAAAACCCTGTCTCTGCTTTCTTTCCTCTTACAGCTCCTGTCCTTTCTTTTTGAGGATTTGTCTCTATTTATGCTCCGAGACTCTTTAAAGCCCTTTTCTCTACTTTTGTCATATTTCCCTAAGCTTCTGTCTCTCCATACTAGATATCTTTCTGAGCTGCTTTCTCTACTTCTGCTGGAAGATCTCTCTGTGCTACTATCTCTGTTACTATGATACCTCTCCAAGCTTCTGTCTCTACTTCTGCTGAAAGATCTCTCTGATCTCCTTTCTCTACTTCTGCTGGAAGACCTCTCTGATCTCCTGTCTCTACTTCTGCTGGAAGACCTCTCTGATCTCCTGTCTCTACTTCTGCTGAAAGACCTTTCTGATCTTCTGTCTCTACTTCTGCTGAAAGACCTTTCTGATCTCCTGTCTCTGCTTCTGCAATAAAATCTCTCTGACCCTCTGTCTCTACTTTGACTATAAGACCTCTTTGATCTCCTATCTCTACTTCTGCTATAAGATCTACGCCTGTCTTTATACCTCTCCAAGCTTCTGTCTCTACTTCTGCTGGAAGACCTCTCTGATCTCCTGTCTCTTCTTCTGCTATAAGACCTCTCTGACCTTCTGTCTCTACTTCTGCTGGAAGACCTCTCTGACCTTCTGTCTCTACTTCTGCTGGAAGACCTCTCTGACCTTCTGTCTCTACTTCTGCTATAAGACCTCTCTGATCTCCTGTCTCTTCTTCTGCTATAAGATCTCTCTAACCTTCTGTCTCTACTTCTGCTGGAAGATCTCTCTGACCTCCTGTCTCTACTTCTGCTGGAAGACCTCTCTGACCTTCTGTCTCTACTTCTGCTATAAGATCTCTCTGACCTTCTGTCTCTACTTCTGCTGGAAGATCTCTCTGACCTCCTGTCTCTACTTCTGCTGGAAGACCTCTCTGACCTTCTGTCTCTACTTCTGCTATAAGATCTCTCTGACCTTCCGTCTCTACTTATGTCTTGATATCTCTCTAAGCTTCTGTCGCTTCTTCTGCCTCTACTCTTGTCCTGATCTCTCTCTAAGCTTCTATCTCTACTTCTGCTATAAAACCTCTTCGATTTCCTACCTCTACTTCTGTGTAACTTCGTTGAGATTGGTCTCTCTCTACTTCTAGATCTGTCTTGATATCCCTTTAATCTTTCATTTCTGCTTTGATATATCTTTGGTCTATCTCTACCTGTGTTTATAACTTTACCCCTGCTTTTAGGTCTCCTCTCTAAACTACTTCCCCTGTCACTGTTTATAACTTTACCCCTGCTTTTAGGACTCCTCTCTAAATTACTTCCCCTGTCACTATTCTCAGAGTCATTAATAGCTTTATTTAATATGCTTGCTTCATTAGCAGCAGGATCGTCATTTTCTACTGATTTATCAAAAAATGGCGTAGACACAGTTTTTCCTGCTCTTTTTCTTGACGATAATCTTGGCAATTGTAAACTTTGGCTGTTTACTACTATATTTGGTAGAAGTGCTGATGAATTTTGAATGCATGCTGGTGTAGTTGCACTGAATGTTGGTAGAGTTGGAATGTATTGAGACCATGCTGGTGAAATTGGGGCATATGCTGGTGAAGCTGGACTATATGCTGGTGAAGTCGGACTGTATACTGGTGGAAGTTCACTGTATGCTGGTTCATGTGAGCCATATGATGGTGAAAGTGCACCATATGTTGGTGAAGTTGGACTGTGCACTGTTGAAAATTGATAATCTGCTGGTGATGTTGCAGAGAACGGGGGTGGATTTTGACCAAATGTATTAAACATAGGTATCGCTATTCCAGCAGGAGCGCATGATTCTGGAATTGGAACATCTGCAAACATGTCCTTCTGGCAATATACTTTGCCTGGCTCTTCCAAAATACTCAGCCACCCTTTATTCTGCTGCTCAAAAAGTTCAGGGGCTTTTAAGTTTGGGTTAAAATCTGTACAAACATCTACTTTCAAATCATCAAGAATTTCTAATGACACCTTAGGGTTATCCATCATCACATGTTTCTGTCAAATAATAAACATGAAAAAATATATTTTTTAAAAACCACATGCTCATCAGAAAGAGAATGTTATTTATTATCCAATCCACTGCATGATAACAATTGTTTTAATTATAACAAACTACAGGTAGTGCTATTTGTAACTGTGACTGTTACACTGTACATATATTCCCCAAATAGCATCCCTACACCATCTTTGCAAGCCAAGGGTTTTTGGTCCACTTCGCTCTCCACAAAGTTTGTGGAGAGTGAAGCAGACCAAAAACCCTTGGCTTGCCAAGATGCCCTACACCCAAATGATATAATTTTCCTGCAAGCTTTATCAAATTACACAGGACTTTCAAAATACATGTTTATACTTATACATGAAATACAATTGCCAAAAGTTTCACAGTAATAGTCATAAAAGTATTGGCCAACTAGAATTCATCTTGTGCATGAACTTGCTGTCATTTCATGCATATATTTTATTATTATTATTATTTTTTTTTTTTTTTGGCAAAATAAGAGAGTTGTAATTTTTTATAATTATATGTGTGTGTGATATTACACCTATATGGTCAAATTTCAAAGTATTTTATTAAAAAAAAAAGAAGATAATCATATCAGTCAACTAAAACCCTGAATAGTCAGACTCTATTATACCTGTAAAAAATATGATTCTGTCTTACAGAAGTATAGTATTCTACGTATCATATGTTTAAAATGAGCGAATTCACATAAAGTCATTTAAGAAAGTTTGTGCAAGTATGTGACCTTTTTCTTTAAAATCTGATAGAACCAATTTTAGGTCATTTAAAAAACTTAAAATAAAGTCAACAAATTTTAAGACAGGAATTGTATCACATGCATATTTCAATAAAATCAAGTTAATGAGTTTTTAAACTTTATAAAAATGTTACTTGTGGTTCAATATGGATATTTGCAAGCCGGTCTGATATGTTATATGGGTTTTTTGACTGGTTGTTGATATGGAGTATTATGATGTTACTGATATTGCACAGTGTGGAATCGGTGTGTTCACAACTAAGTATATGATAAAGAAACATACATAAGAATATATATATGTATAGTTGACAAATCTTTTGATCATTGCATAAATATTACCTCGATTTTGTCTGATTCATTCTGATTTCGAGAAATTTCTGCTTTCATGAATCTAGATTTTGGGTCATAGTAAGCTGTGCTTTCATCTAGATTCATTAGATACTGAAAAATAATAGGAACATATATTTATTTTTTACCAATATAGGTAATGCGGGGTCCTTAAATAATAAGGTATGGCAGCATATAAGAATAATACACCCATTTGTCCACATATTATATTTGAGTGCCTATTCCTTAAATGCCTACATTACCTGATTAGTTGCAGTATTCTCTGTTTGACAAACCAACTCTTCAGCTTTCTTAGGATTTTCTTCTACAATTTAAAACATGAACTTGTAAAAATTTACAAAAACATCAGGCTATATTTTAAAGTCTAAACATTTATTTCTTAGGCAAATACTGCTAATAATGTTACTGAAAATTATTCATTCTTTCAATTTAACAACACAACAGCTGGATAAAATATCTTTTTTTAAGGAATCACTGTCTAGTTTGTTGGGTATGCCAGGGCATCAATGATAGTTGGAAACGTGGGATAATTTGCATAACAGGCAAAGCCTAGCTGTATGCATAAATTATCCCACGTTTCCTACTGTCATTGATGTCCCTGGCATACCCAACAAACTAGACAGTGATTCCTTATATTTACATTTATATGTGAAATAAAATTGTAAATATAAATAAAAAAAAATGTTTTTTAAGAGATTTAAAATACAAGAGGCCTCCCAATAGTCCCTGCCCATTGACGTCAGACACAAATTAAGACAGCTGCACAAGACTGACATGCATATTAGGCCCCTGATCTTTCACTTGGCGAAATTTACATTCAGGTGTAATTATCAAGAAATCAACTCACCTAACTTTCAACAAGTTATCACAAAGAAACAATTGGAAATAAATAAATATTAATATATATACATGTATTACCTGACATATACATAACTTATCCTAAATATTAAATTTCTTCCAAAATTCATCAAAAACTGCACTTATCATGCTTCCCTTTCAACCATAATTATAATTTATCTAAAAGCTCAATAAACTCATGGGAATAAAAATAAAATAAGTTAATTTAGGGGGCTGACTGGGGTTTCTATTGGGCAATACTTTGCTCATCATAGTAAAATAAAGCATATTTTCTGTTTTAAAGCAACTATTTTCACATAATTAATAAAATTTAACAAAATTAAGAAAACACAGTTTAAAAAATCTAATTACAATTCTGTATAACTGATTTTTAAATGATTTTTCAACCGATCAGTAGATTGACGTCAAAATAGTGTATTTGTGACACTATGAAGTTCTTTAAGAGGGAGGTCATGAAAATGTTATAAAAGAAAAAGTATTAAATATAAGCTCTTGAAATTTAAAACATAGAAATTTGAGAATCTCACAATTATTTTTGTTATCTTTTTTTTTGTATAAATCCTTGGTATCAATCTGTCATATTTTATAGTACTGCATAAAATCAAGGAAATTTCATTAATTTAATTTTGACATTTTGAGATGCCCCCTGTGGAAGCCAGATGGTAGAATTTTGTGTGTCTTGCACATGATGTACAATATTGTATTACTCATCACATGTTATAATTTGAGCAAAAAGTTTATTTAATATTTGTATAATTTGCTTTGAAGTGCGAAAATCGGCACATTAATTCCCATATAATCCTATAGTAAATGTACCTGTATTTTGAGACGGTCCCTAAAAAATACTTGGACAGTAGTATACTTGGCATGTACACTGATGTCAATGGAAGAAACACATGGTATAAAATTAAAGAGTTTCTCTATCGTAGTTTCTACACAATAAAACCCCAGTTGGCTCCCTTAAAATGCAATTTGGTGACAGTTTGGACAATTCTAGCAAAATAAACACAGGATCAAAACCATACCTAAGCAATAACCATTAACCAAATTAGTAAGCGACATTGCTTGAAAGCTTGATGTGGAGTGGCCAAATCCAGCAGTTTATCAATACTTGAGCAAATTTTGGCCATAAACAATCTATGTACCAAGTATGAGCTTCCAATGATTCTCCATTACAAAGTTATAGTCTGGACAATATTTGTTAAACTTTTTCTGCCAGTAACCTTGAACATGCCAGGATTACCTTTGGTCTAGGTTATGACACACCCACAAGCCAAAAAACAGTTTTTGTACACAGTATGAATTTCAAATGATTCTCCATTACAAAGTTATAACCTAGACAAGAAATATACTTTTTCTGTCAGTGACCTTGAATTTACTTGAATGTCCTAGAGTGAAAGTTATGATACACCCTCTGGTCATGAACAATCTCTGGACAATGTACCAAGTATGAGCTTCCAATGATTCTCCATTGCTAAGTTATAGTCCTTACAAGAATTTTATACCCTTTTCTGCCTTTGACCTTAACTTACCAAATGACCTTTGGTCAAGGTCAGGACACTCCCTTGAGTCATGAACAATCTCTGTACTAAGTATGAGCTTCCAATGATTCTCCATTACAAAGTTATAGCCTGGATTCCTATGTATAAATTTGATCCCCTTTTGTGGCCCTTCTCTACCATCAGGGGTCATGATTTGAATAAACTTGAATCTACACTTCCCGAGGATGCTTTTATATTTTAAAATATGACTCATCATGGCTTTCCAGTTCTTGAGAAGAAGATTTTTAAAGATTTTACCAGTGTATTCCTATGTAAAATTTTGATCTCCCATTATGATTTGAATAATCCTTGTGATTTGAATAATTTTGAATTTACACTACCTGAGGATGCTGCCACATAAGATTCATCTTTCCTGGCCCAGTGGTTCTTGAAAAGAAGATTTTTAAAAGGTGCCATTAATTTTTTCTTAATTCATAATTATCTCCCCTAGGAAGAAGGTGTGGCCCTTCATTTGAACAAACTTAAATCCCCTTTACCTAAGGATACTTTGTGGCAAATCTGGTTAAAATTAGCCAAGTGGTCCAGGACTAGACAATGAAATTGTAAAATGTTTACAATGACGACAACAACGACAATGATAGACAACGAACAAATTTTGATCAGAAAAGCTCACTTGAGTCTTTGGCTTAGGTGAGCTAAAAGCAGATAGCAATAGGTCACCTGAGTGACTCAGGTGACCTAATAAAATGATGGTTTAGAAATAAATGGTTCTTACCTTTGTCAAGAAGGCTAAAAATATCTTCTAGTGGCATGTTCACTCCCTTGGATTGCTGCAACAAAATTTTTTTTTTTTATATAAAACAGATATGATTGTACTATCCCTATTTGCTGGCACATTAAACTGTAGGTTTCAAGAATGGCAGTGCACATGTTTTGCTATGGGAAACCTCAAATATCAAGGTTACCATGTGTTTTTAGACAAAAGCTGAAAACTTTAGAGATAAACTGGAATCTTAATATGCAATGTTCCCTTATCAACTGGCAATCAAGATACTATTATTGTATATTAAGTTTTATGAGAAAAAGTTAATTTAGCTATTTAAGCCATCCCATAGCCACAGGGGTCTCAAGGAAGCTAAAATTGTTATATAATTAACAAAATACATCTCAGAACTTTCGGAGAAACCTTCATAGTTGTCATTAATTGGGTGTAAAGCTGTTTCCCAATGGAAAGATACGCATGCCAAAAAAAGGGCATTCAAACTTTGATCAAACAGCCCACTTCAGCCCTTGAAATGTGCCAGTCATTGCTCTTAACAAATTCATCCATTTTTTAAGGAAAGGATATTTTGACATTGATAACTTCGCTTAACCCCCCCTCCCCCCCCCCCCCCCCCCCCCCCCCAATATTTACTAATACATGGAGTCAATATTTTTAAAAGTACTGTATATTGAAAATTTGCTTGATCACTAAACAAATACTTCATACATGTGATTCCATTCTAATCTCCATCAGTGCATGCTCATCCTCAGCGAGTTGCTCAGTGAAAGTTGTTTTTTGTTTTCCATCCTCATTTTTTTCAATATTATCACATTTAATGCCTTTTCCTCTGGTCTTCAATCCTGATCTTTTTTCCTTCTCTTTCTGAACAGTAGTGCGCCCTCCTTTGGTAAACATTAATGGCTTGGACACCATTTCGCCTTCATCCTCCTCCTCTTCCGACTCTTCACTTGTCACATCGGAATCTGTTATCTCATCGTCCTCAAAATTAAACCTCTTTAATCTGGGATAGATCAATGGCTTGGTGTGTATTCCCAACCCTCTTCCCTTATCTTTCTTTTGGAATTTTCCACTCACTTTTGTTGACAAAAAAATCTTGTCAAGTTCCTTTACTAAATCTCTATCCTCTTCACTTGAATCCTCTTCCTTTTCAATATACTGATCAATAATACTCAAAGACTTCCTTTTGGAATACATTAATGGCTTGGTCTTAAATCCCAATTTTTTCCCATTATCTTTCTTCTCTTCTTCATCTTCACTCACCTCTTTTGATGATTTTTCTTTTGCAGGTTTCTCAGTTTTATCTTTTTCCTCTTCACTCGTCTCCACAATATCCACATTTGAATCTTCACTTGTCTCAGCAATATCCATGTTGGAATCTTCACCCTCATCTTCCTCCCTGCATGGATCCCCATCCAAACTCTGTTTAATGGATGACATTGACATCACACCATCTTCAACTGCCATGTCCATATGTGTGTTTTGATATCTAAATGATTCTAGTTCCATTCCAGCTGCAGCAATCTGTGATAAAGAAATGCTTGTAAGATTGTAACAAAAATTGTGCTGCAAAGAAATCATCATAATGCTAGACTTACATGTATGAATTACTACCATTAAGGAGTCATACATGTATATGTGATGATAAAAGCCTCCAAACTCTCTTACAGTCCTATATACATGAAAAGTAATCAATTAAACCATTCAATTTTAGCTGTTTTTTTTTTTTTGAGTTGTGTAAATTAATGACTGAAAAATGGCCATGGTTTAATAGGAAATGGAGAAAATATTTAATTGATGTAACTATTTTACATTTATGCACCTCATACACAGTATTATTGCATCACATTCATGATAAATATTTCTCTAGTCAAGTGCTCTTTATTCTATCTTTTCAGGTTTGTTAAGGGCTATTTACTGAAATACATGTATATATTGGGTTGATCAATCTCATATATGGTGAGGTGAATTCATGGGTAAAGGGTATAGGACTTCCCATGAAATATAAAGATTCAAGAATAATTAAACCTCTTTCTACACATTTGTTTCTTTGGAAAAATAAAGATTTGATATATTCAATCACCTCTGTTTATACAGTGTAATTCTAATGAACATACCACTTACAATATTGAGTTTTAAGATACATGTATCTGCATGAATAAATAGAATTTAAATATGAATGTGCTTTACTATATTAAAACTACCGGTAAATCAGATTTGTTCTTTTATGAAACTGTTAAATTCACTGTAATCACACAATAAAATTTACCTGTGGGATCTCTGGTACTGATGCACTTGATATGAATTGTGGTGGCCCTCCCCTCAAACGAAGAACTAGAAATATGGTGGAATTTGCAGGCATACCTTCCAAAGAAATTCATATTTTTCTATCATTAATTACAGCATGTATTAACATATTTGGTAACAATGTCATCAATCAAGCCTCAAACATGAGAAGTGATAACTCTTTATTTTACAATTACTATCATTTTTGTCAAGCTCTGTATTCATTTAAACAAGATAATCAAAGTTCAAAAAGTTACAGTGAATTTCTTATATGCAAGTGACTTGATATTTATGGCAATATTTCACATCACAATTTAAACCTATATTCTAAGCATCAGACTTTAATGTACAATGTAAATGTTCCCTGTATTTCACAGTATGAATAGTAAACATGGATAATTTTAAGAGTTAAAATTTTGCAATTTCAAAGGAACAAAGCATTTGTGTGGGGGTTATTTTTGCAGAAGTTGAGGAATTTACAAAATGTGTTGGTTGTTTAGTATGGTACCTTATAAGAAACAGTTGGTGTACTAATTAATTTTGCAAAACTTTACTACTAGCAGAATTTGCAAAAATTTTACCCATGCAAACATTTCAAGTTTACAGTACAGACTCATCTAAATAGTTGTCATTTGTAAATCAGTCAAATACAGTTTAACATAGCGTACGTCTCACTTAAATAATTTGTATTTTATAATTGTCTGCCATTGTAAATCAGTCAAATGCAGTCTAACAGAGACTCGCCTAAATAATCTGTGTTTTGTAGTTGTTTGTCATTCTAAATCAGTCAAATACAGTCTAGCAGAGACTCACCTAAATAATCTGTGTTTTGCAGTTGTTTTCCATTGTAAATCAGTCGTATACAGTCCTCTGGTAGTCCCTCTTTATTCATGATTTCTGATTTCAGCTCAGCCACAGAGCCAGCTGTTACTTGTATAGATCTTCCTGTCAGTGTTTTCACAATCAGTGGTTTAGGAACTAAAATAAAAAGTTCACAATAAACAATTTGCCATACTTTGATCCTGAAATTGAAGATTAAAAGTTTTAAAAGATTAGCTGCGTAACTTTTTATGCTTCCAGATCTGACTCATCGTAGACCCAAATGAGGCAGGGTTCAAACATTCAGATTATTTGTTCCCCTTCACCAATATAGGCTTAAGTTATATGCACACTGCTTTTATTCTAACTGTACAGTAGAAGTACACATTTTTGTGGGAATAAAATTTCAATGCCTTATCATCTAAATAGGTTTCATGGCATTTAATTTTGTTGTTTGGAAATTAAACTTATTCAATATATAGTCATCATATACAAAATTGGTGTGAGATTTAATTTCTTGATAATTGGTAACAATGAAATCAACAAAATTTAATCTTCAATCAATATTTCTGCTTTTACAATACATGTACTTAACAATTAGCTATAGGTCTCCTGATTCTCAAATATGACCTTAAAATAAATTACATACAGATTAATTATTTCTCTTATCTTCATGTAGGACTTAAACTCCTATGACACCTATTTGAAGAGGTTTCTGACTCCAAGACCATAAAATGAGAACAAGTAGTTTTAAGTCAAATTTTAAACCAATATAACTTTTGAAATACTTTTGATAATGAAACAAAATTTTCATCATTTGTTTGAATTTAAATGTTATACAAAATTGCAAATTTTTAAGCAAATATGTTAAAGGACTTATCGCATGTTTCTAAATTATTTGAAATTAAAAGTGTAAAACGTTCATTGTGACTACAGTTTATAAATTTTGTGCTTTTACTGCGGATAAACCGCGGTAATTGATCAATTATTGACTCAAATGAAAACCCCTGATTTAAAAATCTAAGTTAATTAGATAGCGATCACGTGACCCTGTGACGTCAAAGGCGACAATGGCTGATCAGCTCTTCACGTTAATCTTACCAAAATATACGCGATACAACCTGAATTTTCTGCGTTGTGGACGATCAAATCACTTATTTTATCGATATGAAATTGAATATCCAACCTTATATGTTACAATTGTCAGCAAGAAAAAATCTGAAAAATCTGTTAACATTGTTAGAATAGCAGCGACGATAGCGAGGGAGACGCGGCGAAGACGAAGAAACTCGCCATCAGAATACGATTTGATTTGTCATCTTATCACATGTATTTACGTATTTGATTCACAAATTTAACATTATATAACTTTGTTGTTCTTCGTTTTTTACATAATATTAATTTATGCAAGTCTTCATATGTTTTTTAAAGGATGGCGATCTTGAAAAATAATTTCCCGATCACGAAACATTGCCGTAATCAGAGCTACAGATTCTAAATGTTTGGAATAAAAAACGAAAATATCTCAAAAGCCTTATACCTTAGAACTAGTGAATGTTTCTATAGTAATTGAAAAGCACGTTAGAAATTAATTTTTTCAGCATTTTTCGTAATTAAGCTGCATTTGTCGTTGATAACTCCGTAAATAGTGTGTATATTCTCATCTCTCTATCACTGAATTGTCGCCTATGACGTCAGAGCAGTATTTCGCCTAAATCCGACTGAAATATGCATATTCCCGTATTTGAATTTCAACTCCCAATATCTCTTGAAATATGCTTTCAACAAATTTATTGTATTCAGTATTTTAATAAACAAGGTTGTAGATAATATTTGTCATAAAATTACGATTTTTGAAAAATCATGCGATAAGTCCTTTAAATAAAACTCAAAATATTAAAAATCAAAATTTTGACAGAAGTCTGTTCTCAGTTTATGGTCTTGGGGCCGCATCTCCATTTTACTGAACCGCCATTAAGGGAAGTAAGGCACTATATAGATTGATCAATCTAATTTCATGAAAAGTTAACAGCAATAAAAATAAGTCATCTTTGATAACTTTCTTTGATTCTTTGGTTGGAGGGACAAACAGAATAAATAGCCTAATACATGTTTATAAATTCTCAATATATTTGTATTCTAAATTATAGAGTTTAAATGTACAAAGCACACAACATCTTACCAGGAAGAGATTTGTGGAACTGATACTGAATTTTTCTGGCACTTTCAGAATCTTGACTGGAAAAAAATTTATCAGTTGCCTCCAAAACCTGTGAAAAGTCCATCAAAATAAAAAATAATTTCATAATTCAACAAAACACTCAAAATGTGAAGTTGTGAACTATATGAGTCTGACTTATATATGTCTGACTTGCTATGTTTCAAATTCATTTGAAAAAGAAATAAACTATACTAATTTTTCTTTTTTCCTGTAAATTTTAATTCAAGAATACAATCACAGAAAATAATCCTTGAATTTCACCTTTTCTGCCAAATCTCTGTTTTCTTCATCCATTAGGTCTGTTCTGTAATCCAGGACAGACAGGTAACACCTCTCTGCCTCTATCTGGGAGAAGCTCTCTGCAATGATTGCCTTTCTTAGCAATTCCTCCACACACTGCACAGGGTCCTGTTTAATAATTATCTTGTTCATGATTTACTGTGTTTTGTTAAGCTTGTGCACTTACTATATAACATATTTAAAGCAATTTTTTTTACTATGCATAAAACAATTTAGGGCTAACAATGAAGTCATATTGTTTCATCCAGTTATAAGAATTCACGGATAAAACAAAGCAATTACATCTGTCCCTGGCAATGTTTCAATGAAGTTTAAACATTTATACTAGATGTGCAATGATTTCATTGATGAAATACCAATTTTTCTGTTTATAAACTGGATCCATTGTAACATTCCTATTATGGGGCGCAGCGATGCAAATTAATTTATATAATGATCAAAGCCTTCTTTCTGATACTGCTGGTAATTTAGAATTTCATGAACTTATTACACAAACCTTGTCATCCATGTCGTCTGGGTTCATCCATCCCATGTATGTCAAAATATCCACAGATTCCATGTTCAGCAACTCCTGAATGCTTGGACCCTTTGTTACCTCCCCCTAAATGTGATGTACATGTATGTATGATAATTAATTACTGTAAGTTGTACTTTCATCACACTATACATTCATAATATAAATACTGTGCATATTTTCAAGAGATCAAATTTTTCATGGATTGAGGAAAAAAAAAAATTGGTTGATGGGGACTTGATTTCAAGAGTGAAAAATTGTTGAGTAGTTTTACATAAGAAATTTAAAATTTTGTGGTGGACTTGAATTTTTGGGTCTCATCATATGTCAAAAACAGCAAAAATTAATTACCAACAGAAATTAAGAAATGAATGTAATATTTTTTTCTTTGACCAACATATCAAAGAAAAATTTGGATGGAAAACGTCATCAATGCGCGAAGCACATTGAAGAAAAAGTTTTACGTCCCAATTTTTCTTTGATACTTCGGTCAAAGAAAAAAACATTACTTTCATTTCTTATTATTTAATTATGATTTAAAAATTTACAGGTAAGTTACAAATGATGCAGTGAGAAGAATGAGAGTTAGGCCGACAGAGATAACTCTTAAGAATGTGAAAGTCGTATATTAAGTTTATCTTGCATCCTTTGTAATTAAATGATTTCAAATCATTGTTTGCAACCCAAATTTCAAGACCTGATGTTGAAGTTTTTTTTTATTTTGTATTAACTACACATTTTATAAATACATGCACACATACCTTACTTCTTTCTTCCACTGCTATAAAACTAGTATATGGAGTCACGATACCAAACTCTTTACTGAGCTCAATGATGTCTTGCTTTCTCTCCTGTTTTATCATCTTTTATGAAAAAGAATAATGAACCTCATTGATATAATGAACTCATGTGACTATCAATTAATAACAGATTATCAAAATGTCCTTCAGTGCATAAGCTTACATAAAATTATCTTGAATAGTTTCTTTGAAACTGAGCTAAATGCAAATTTAAGAAAAGTGAGGTCAAGGGAAAGTCAAGGTTAAAATTTTTTTATACAGATCAATAATGATCACCAATTTGTATTAGCAAATGAAGTTTGATAAAAATAATTTGATTTGTTTATTTGAAACTGAGGTTATAAACACAGATTTAAGAAAAGTGAGGTCAATTGCATGTGCTGCCATTTTATTGGCTGAAACTTCAAACGGCTTTCAACAAAATAGGATGAAATTTATAATATATTAGATAGGCAGATTAGGCTCCTACATTATGGTTTTATCAAACTTGAATGAAGGCCATGCATGCATATGTGCTGAATTCTGAATGGCTAATATTTAAATGGATATATCTCTCTTATTTTTCAATGAAATATTTTGATATTTAACACAAAGATATATATTGTGAGAGACTATAAGAATATATATATGAATAATCTAGAAACATTTGCAAAGCACATGCACTGACAGTCCATTGGCTAATACCCGTTCAGCAATACTGGAGTAGTTTTCTTATAAAAAACTTTAGAAAATAAATATTAGATCTATAATACAAAACCATTGCCTAATTTTATGAAGCTTGTAGAGAAAGGGGCACCATAAGGGAGTGGGGAGCCATTTGGGGAACGTCTGTAATGGTTTCTAGCTGTTACAATTAGCACTAGTTTGATATATTTTTGTTTACCTTTTGGTCCACTTTATGGTCACTCAAAACTCCATCTTCATAATCTCTAATGACAGCTCTGGCAGCCAGTTGGTGCAGCATCTGCATATATTACACAGTATTAATAATGATATCATAAAAGATATTTCTATAAAATCATTTAAAGTAAAAAGAATTTTTATCTGAAGAGTTTTTTAACCAACCTTTCCTTCAGTAAAATTAAGTTCAGTTGTTGAAACCATTGTTTCAAATTCTTGTCCATCAACATTTGCCATCAATTTTGCCTGTATAAAATAATTCATATATTTAATTGAGTATTGCAGAAAGGTAGTCAGATATGGCTTAAACCGCAGGAATCTTCAAAGTAATGTATGTAAATCTGGATAAGCCTATTTTTTTAAAATGAAAACTGGAGTTTTAACTTGATAATATTAATTCACTTTGATGTATGAAATTATTTCTTCATGTGAACATAAAATCATTTTAAAATTTCTTCTTTTCCACATATAACTATTTTCTAACTTTCCAAAAAATTCAGGACACCACAAAACTGAGTTGCAATAAGTACCTGTGTACAATTAGTGACAAATCCATAGACCACTTGTCTGGACCCACTGAATAAACTAGGGATCCGGCAAGGTGCCTGAAGGGGTGGATCCTGCTTATTAGTGGATGTACCCCACTCAACTTTAACATGTGATATACCTGGTCTTGTGGCCTGCTCTATTTGTGATGCAATCTATGTAAAAAAAAAATCATTTTTTTAAGTTATCTTTACAAAAGCTTTAATTTTACTGAATATAATTTGCACTTCCTATGAAGTGACCATGCATGCATGTAATCATTGAAATACAAACTTACGATCAAATTTTTATCATGTCATGCTAAATTCTATATATGATAGGAACATAATCAGCTAACATCCTTTTTTTCATTACAAACAGTAATTAACACAAATGTAATTACTTTGGCTTGCCATTTTGACTTTGTTTTGCTGTTATAGTACTCATACGTCCCTCCTCCGTGATTAGCCAAGCTACGTAATGTATGACTATCCCTATTATTCCTGAAATGATATTGATGGATGATATACTGGTACATGTATATTCCTCAATTTTCATCTAGCTTTATAAAAAGAGTTATCATTCCAACAAATACATGTATAAATTACAAGTAGCTCTCACCCAACTCCCAGACAAAACAGCCTATTTTTAGTGCTGTTAGTGGCAACAGCTCTAAACACAGCCCCCTTGTTGCCAACAAATCCGTCAGATATCAAAAAGATGCTCCTACTGCCCTCTGCAGGACTTAGCAAGAAAAAAGATTTCAAGGGAGACAACACATCACTGCATCCCATAACAGGATTGGCAGCCTGAAAATATTCAATTTGTTCTTCAGATAATTCTCTTAATACAGATACAGTGTAATTCTGTTAATTCTGTAGATATGAAATGATCCATAATAAAATATGTACATTTTAATGTTCATTCATTTAAATAATTCAAATTGACATAACATTTTCTTTTTTCTTGATGATCCAACACACTTATTTTACACAGCCATTTTACAGTATACTGAGCATGAATAAAAATGTCAAAGTACCTCTAAGTATTTTACAGCCTCATCTGTAGAATTCTTTGTAATTTTGTGGGGAAACTGGAAGAGCTCTTTAAAGAATGATCCAAATGCTACAATGTTAAAGGAAGCCTTCTCTGGGAGACTGTTGAGAGCCAGTAATATAACCTACAAAACAATATATAAGCAAATGTTGACTTATTTTCTTTATTAAGTAAACTGTTATTAAGAATTGTGTATTTCATATGCATGGCATCATTAGAGTATGTTTTAACTATTGTACTTTTCTGGCATCTCTGAATGGATCCCCCTTCATAGAGTTAGACAAATCCAGTAGAAATATGATCTCTGGGCTGGGGTCAATCGCTGCCTCAAACTCAGGGTAGAAAGCTAGCATACATGCCTAAAATTTAAGATAGCAAAACATCACTTGTAAAATGATTTCAGTTGTCTCTAAACTTTATTAGAATTTGTGAAAAGTAAAGAAAATCATGTTATAAGTTTTATCATACCAATAAGTACAGGTATATATGTGATATATATTAGTATTATATATATGTGATAATATATTATATATATTATATATATATATATATATATATATATATATATATATATATATATATATATATATATATATATATATATATACATATATATATGTGTGTATATCAACATCCATTACCCGTAAGTCTTTCTTTGGATGACACTCGACCCACATACGAGGAACATGGATCTCTGCTAACGTAATCAGTAGCTGGAATCCTGCTGTAAACTCACATTTCTTTGGTATCTCAACTACAGCCTTGGTGGCAGTTTTCTAACAATGGAACAAAATCACAATTTTCCCTGATTGATGACAATGGGTACAAGAAGACTTGTGTATCAAGCAATTTCTTCAAACATTTATTTTTAAATTACAAATAACATCACAAATTACTTTAACTTCTAAATCAGTTATCTATCTTACTTTGTACTTCAGTCTGTGAGTACTTGATTTCAGTGACCTTATTTCAAAAGGCATCTCTATAGCAGCTTGTAGCGATATCTGACAATCCATTGGGTCACTGATGTGTAAAACTGTTGATTCTGACTGGAAGTAGCATAAAACAAGAAACATGTACATGAAAAGAATGTTTTTATGATGAAGAATTTCATAGAAATTCTATCAGTAGAAAAATATTTCATTTGTGCTAGATATGTAAAGTAAAACTTATCAGCACCTGAGTTTGTTGGGCGAGCGCTGATTCTTTGACCCATGGCGCTACTGTTGCTGGAATGGTCAGGGCAATACTATCCCCCTCCACTTTAAGCTCTGTGATGTATGTGACTTTTATTAGGACCTCTGACTTTGGGGGGAGATTTCCAACGCTCACAGTAAATATGTCCTAAAAATAAAAACAGCAATAATCAGAAGAAGATTTTGTATTACATGTATCTAGATGTACAAGTATATAGAGGTATTTAATAGCTTATATGTAGAATATGATAGCATGTGAATACATGAAGATTAATTAAATATACATGTATACAACACTGTGTATAATTACATGAATACGGATTTTGAATTTACAAACCTTTAAAAGATACACTCAAATACGAAACAATAAATGAAGAGAGCTAAAATGTTTTGCTAAAAAAAAAATACACTGCCAAATATAATACAGTATCTTTAAGATAGTACAATAAATTCAAATAATGATGAAGTTGACACTTACAGGCTCCTCCTCATCCATTAAATATGCGCCATGACCTTTGCTGATAGCCTCTCTGTACTCACGATGAGCTGTCTTCTTTTCTTTGATTTCTCCTGCAAATCATATTTACTGGTAAAAATAATTTTCTATATGTTACTTTCTTCTCTTAAGATATGTAACAAAGATTTCTCAATATAAAGTTTAATCCGATTAACTCCAGTAAATATTGGATGTTAGTATTGGCTCATTTTCACAATGTCAAGATTTTGTGATTACGTAACTCCACACAAACCCTATAATCACAAAACCTTGACATTGTAAAGATTATATTGTCTGTTCTACTCTGGGAAAACTTACAATAGTTTTCTATTTCCCATGAATGATACATTTAAAATCATCATATACATGTAAATTGTATCTACCTTTTTTTATTATCTAACTAAATCCTTCATCTGACATCTCTTTTATCTATTAAGCATATGTAGTCAAAACTCTCTTACCTATAATGTGCTTTCCATTTATAAATGCTTCAAACCCACACACGGCTGCTGTCTCATCTAAAGGAAAGACATACTTGGCTTCTATAGGCTCTGTCATGTTGTTTTTATAGGTCTGCAGAACCACCACCTAAAAAAAGAAAAACACTGCATAACAGAACAAATAGTAGCAATTCATAGACCCAGAAAACTGGAATTTCTAATATGTATTATGTTACTCTCTGTCTCATTACAGTACAAAATACAGCAACAATTTTAGAAATAACAGAAGTTTTGCAAAAATAAAAAGCAAAAAAAACGGATGTTGAGACACAGGATATTAACAAGTGTAAAGGTTTGCTGAACTTTTCATGTAATGTAGATTTACCTTTGCTACCATGTCTATGACCTTGGCCCTGATATGAACCCCTCGTAGTGGGATTTGGATGGACTTTTTACTGCCAATCAAACCACCAGTCACTTTAGATAGAGGATCAGGGAGGTTCTTTAAGTCAGTAATATCTGTAAAATTATTTAAACTCATATCAAGAAACATTAACAACTTGTCAATTCTAACAGTTAATTTATAAAGATGAATGGGGAGGGGTGATTCTTTCAGTGGAAAGTCATGCCATGCACATTATTCAAATACAGTACTATAATTTTTAATTTTCACCATATGCACACTCACTATAGAGTCATGAATTCAAGAAATAATGATGAATTAGATGTATAAAAAAACATTATATATCTATATGTATGATGAAGTTAATCTTTGCACACATACATGTATCTGTGTGAATTCAAACATCTGCAACTGGGTGCCAAGGGAAATAAAATAAGCAAGATTATCAAAACTATACATAAGAAAAAAATAAAAGCCTTTACAGTATACTTTAAGAAAACATACTTTGCATTTACAGCAAAAGTCATGCTTATAATCCTTACTTTTTCAAGGTCTTAACAAATGCTAAGTAAGCTCTATATAGCCATACCAACAGAACTTGATGTGACTGCCATATTCTCCTCTTCTTCAGGTTTTGTCGGGATTGAACAAATGGGTGGATCACTGGGGACTGTGAAGAGAATGACATATCTAACTCTCTGTTGTGAGGTGTTGTATATCACAAACTCATCATCCTGTTATGAATAAAATCAGACATATATTTCTCTCTGAATAAAGTTCTATATTGGCAATTCATTTTCATATTTCAAGTTATTCATCTTCAATCAATTTTAGGACAGACTCATTAGAAAAACACTGCAATTTAAAATCATTTTGTATAAAAAATACCCACACAAATAAATGCACACTAAATGTAAAGAATACCAAAAAAGGTTCTCAAATATTACAAAGCCAACCTCAGTGAATATGTCATCTAAAAGTGAAACAAGGTCTTAAACATGCTTAATTTGAACTTGCCAATAAACAGACTTAAAAGCACATCTATAAAGTCATATCTATAAAGTTTAATTAGCAACTGAATCAACACTTTTCATATAGTATAAAAGTAGATCCATACATTAACCATGCAAGTTGACTAAGAACCTCATGGATACATGCACAATGATGCAACAATAAAGGTCAGATGCACATCTACAGATATTATATGATACAGTATCCATCTCTACATTCATCATCCATGATAGTTTGGCTATGGAATTGATCACTGCCAAAATTTTTTTACCTGGAATGCTGACGGTGATGCTTCAGCAACACATGAAAACTCCGCTGAAGTGAGAAAAAAAATAATGCATTTGAGACCTACCATAAAATCTGTAATATTTTCCTCTGTCATTTTGACACCATGACAGCTGTGGTATCCAGTAGGTGGTGCCGTAAGATCAGGTTGTAGAGTTGTACAGTCACAACAATTTCCTAGTGCAACATCACAGACTATCAGCATCCTCATTCCTGTGCCATGACTAGGCTCAGCATAATGAAGGCAGGTTCTGAAATTAAGATGGCAGCATTTGGAGTTACACAAGTCTATTTACACCCAGTTAAGTTTTCCACTTCATTGAGCTCTACTTTAATACAATGGAGCTACTGTAAATCACATTTTATTTGCAAGGATTTTATTTTCGCGAAATTACATGACACAGACTGCTCACAGAAAATTTCATTCTCATGTATATTATATACAACAATACCCAGAATTCGTGAAAATTTTGTCACGAAAGTAAGGTGCCGCAAAAATATGGTGATCTACATGTACAGTATACTGCAATATTTTTGTCCTTCAATTCAAGGAATCATTGATTTTGAGTAAATACATGAAATGTACTTTGTTCAAAGTCAATCATATTCATTACAGAAATTAAAACTTGCTTTCATAATACTTTTCACTCTTTCATAGTTAGGAAAAAATGTGAAAATTAAAACTCTACAGCAGGCATTCTAATCTGACAGTTTTACTACATCATCAAAAGGATAAGATTTTTTTTATCTTTACTCAAATGAATTGGAGAAGTAGATTCCATATCCTAGCTTTCCCCCATCAGTTCTGGTAATTCCATGTTCTTCTTCTACTGCTTGAGGTAAAAGTAGTCCCCTAAAAGTATGAAAATAACATTTTATCAAAATATTCTTTCCATCATAAATTTGCTGTCATCATGTACTCTTTGGAGGATATGCTGTCTATAATGTATTTCCATACACAAAAGTATTTATACAACTGTCATCAATATAGCAGTTTACTTAACACTAAATCGTTATAATATTTTGGGGGGTTTTTTGCCATTTTTTTAAACCAGGATTAACAACCAGGTAATAAAAGATGTACAGTGAGGTAATAAATACAATTTAGTATAATGTAACATATTTCCGTCTACAGCATCAACCTTGACTCCAGGAGATGACCTATGATATAATAGAGACATCATAGTGGTTACATTGATGGCCAAAGCATCTTCAAGTCCTGTCAATCTTGTGGATATATTTTCAAAACTGTGCAATGCATCCATCTAATTTCTAAATGGTCATCTACAGCAATGGCTATGAGATTTTTGCTGACCAAAGAAGACATACCTTGACAGAATACCTAGGAGATTCTGAGGCCCTGAAGCATGCATCAACAGCTGAGAATTCCCTATCAAACCAGACATTTCCTGGTATAAAATGTCTTCTAAAGTTCTCCCAACTTCAAAAACATGGTGGATTGTGATGCTTCAAATAAAAAGAATATCTTGTTCCATTTTTGGAATGATAGTATTATAAGGTCAATTGTAAATTCTGAATATGAGAATTATTTATTGATTCAGAAAATAAAGTACGAATTTAACACCTTTGTTCTCTATTACTGAAGATGTTTCGAATGTCTTGAAACTGGACACTTGATTGGTTCAGTTTTGTCATGTGACATCTCAGTGCCCTGTACTTAGCAACAGTGCTGGCAGCAGGAGAGAAGTCTGTGGCTTCACTGACAGTCAGTACATCATAGATCAGCTGGGGAAAAACACGAACATACTCATAAATACATGACTTAAACTAGCTTAACATCAGAACTGATCTCTACTGTGTACATCTGAAATTAAATCACTTACATTTATTCACTTCACACTTGGATTAGTTAAACAGATCAAATCTATCATCTTTGGTTTTCCCTTTTTGCCTGAAGCTGCTTACATACACATACATAGGAATGTTCTAAGCGTTGCATCAGCACTCTTAATTCTTCAAAATTTGGCCGACATTTGTGTACACTAAACCTTCCAATTTCCCAAATAAGAGAGTGACTTCTCAATAACAAAAACTTGATATATGTACATGTACAGGTAAATCACCCAAAACACTCATTTATTCATTCATCAAGATGATCATTCCTTTTAAGGAAAGTTTTTGCTTCAAAATTGCCCCGTAATATTAATCAACTGGTTTTTGAATTGATTTTTCCTCATTTTTGGAATGAATGTTCCTCCCCCCCCCCACCACCACCACATTTTATATTCTCTTGCTCCCAGTCCCAATCTGACATCAAACAAAGAGTCTTGTGTCTGAAAGGATCCGTCTCTCCTTGATCAGTAAATAACTGTCAGTTGACAGACAAAACATTTCTAAAAGATTGAAAACCCCCTACCTATCAATCAATCCATCAATAAAATATACCTGGCAGAGATCTAGTTTCTCCGAGATCATCTTTGGACTCAGGTCCTGTGTTATGTAATGCTGTTTGTGGGGAAGGGCTTCCCTATAAAACTCCTCCACCAGCTCAGGCAAGCGATTATCTGATTTGTTCTCTTTCATAATTTGCTTGATCTGCTTTAAAATGGCCATAGCATCATCCACCTAGAAAAATGTATTACAGTCAAACCTCGCAAACTCAAACCCAATGGGATAAAAGAAACAATTTCCAAGATATCCAATCAATCCAAATATCAAGATTAATATACATAAAGAAAAAGCAGTTGGTACTTTTAACTCACTTCAACATATCCATTGTACAGTAAAACACGCTTATAATTAACACGCTTATAATGATTTGACGCTTACTGTGAAGCGATTTTCAATTTCACATGGCTATAAAATATATTGTCAACTTAATTGATATAATGAATTATGTTTATAAAGAAGCAAAATCATCCGTCCCTGGCCCTTTGTTATAAGCGTGTTTTACTGTATTCCAAGATATGCAAGTATTAGATAACGAAGTTCAATTGTACTATCATGAACATTTACTCCAAATGAAAGTCATCTGTATCATGTTTTAAACCAATCAAAACACTAGGGCTGTCACGGTTCCCCAAATTAACCGAAAACTGTGGTCCAAGTTGTTCGGTTCGGTTTCAGTTCCATTTTTCCGGATTTCGGTTCGGGTCTGGTTTATATATTAGAGTCTGTTTAACACAAAAAATGGCATTGAAATCAAAAGAATGAAGATGATAACAGTGATAAATAAACATCACAACTGAAATCTACTTCATTTCATGACAAAACACTTGTAACAAAAGGATTAGTTAATTATCAAAACGAGCAAGAATGGTCAGGTTGTAGCTAATAGTCGGCCTTGAAGTCTTAAAAACCGATATCAAAACATTAACATGGTTAGGGCTTGTTTTCAAGATGAACTTAACGTAGCAAATAAAGATATTTTAAGCTAAATTCATGAAATTAAGGTTTAAAATAAATGAAAATAACCGAACTGAACCGAAAAACCTGAATCCGAACCGAAAATTTACAGAACTGACCCCACCCGAAAAATTTTGGAAATGTGACAGCCCTACAAAACACACAGTAATATATGTATTCAAATTCACTTGTTTACTTTATCTATCTTTGTATGTTGCATGGAGATGGTTAACATTTTCTCAGCTTCTTGTATTGCCTCATTCCAGATCATCTCAACAAACTGACCTAGATCTGGGTCAAGGTCATTGTGCATGGAACAAATATCATCCAAAATCTGAAGAAAACAATTTCACTCTATGTTAAATCACATATTAGGTAGCAAGAGAGAGAGGGAGGGAGAGAAGGAGGGAGAGGAGGCAGGAAGATTCATTCCAAGCTTAATTCACTGTTATTTGATTTCCTGGTATAGCCCTTTTGTATTTAGTTCAGATATTTTACCACTGCATACCATCTTCAGTTTGTGGGATCCTATTTGATTGGAGATAAATTTTGGTGTGTGCCATGGCTCCATATTCATCAGACCTGATGTGTACCTCTTGTATAATTGTTCAAAGCAAATTAGAACTTCATCTGCAGTGTCCAGATACCAAACAACAGGCCCCTCTCTAGCCTGGATGTGCTAAAATGGAATATTTCTCTTGAAGAAAAATTTGTTATGTACATGTAGGTATGAAAATTATTTTTGATATAACTATATGGTACATGTAACATAACATATGAAACTTTGTTAACAGCAAGTTTCTTAGCATTAACTTTTACTGCAAAAATATTCTTTTTCCTTTCATACTCAAATACAAGTTAAAATTTTTTTGGACATTTTAAAAATAATATAAAATTTGTTTTGACCTGAGATATATGATAAAGATACATTTGCAATTATGGAGAAACATTTCAATATACCTCTCCATCTAGTTGCCCCCCTTGATGATAAAGTCTAAACTTCTCAGACTTCTCACTAGATGTCAGGGCATGAACCTCAATAACATGAACCATTTTCAAAGACTGAAAAATGGAAGTTATTTTTACTTGACATTTCCATTCTATTAAAAATCATTACTTTGATTTACAAACATTCTCAAACATCTTTTTACTGTCATTTAATAGAACTACAAGTCAGATTGTTATGACACATATGTACAGTTATCATGGTATAATAAGTGTTTCAAAACAGAAGCCCATGGGCCACACTGCTCATTTCAGTAACTATGGTCCTTTTTATTCTTTAGCAGATTCTTTTTCCTAAATATTCTCATGTAAAATTTTGATCAACCACTGTAGCCTCACCTTACCCCCTGGGGGTCATGATTTGAACTAACTTGAATATACACTGCCAGTGGACGCTTCCATATAAATATGACTGATCATTGCCTTGCTGATCTTCATCATCAGATTTTTAAAGAATTTTTCATATGTATTCCTATGTAAAACTTTGATTGCCTATAGTCCCCTGGGGTCATGATTTGAAAAAATCTGAATATACATTACCTGTGAATGCCTCCATATAAATGTAACTAATCATGGCTTTGCTATTCTTGAGGAGAAGATTTTTTTTAAAGATTTCTCATATGTATTCTTAAGTAAAACTTTAATTGCCCATTGTAGCCCCACCCTACCCCCAGGGGTCACGTTTTGAATAACCCTGAATCAACATTAACTGAGGATGCTTCCATAGAACTGTGACTAATCATGGCTTTGCTGTTCTTGAGAAGGAGACTTTTAAAGATTTTTCATATATACTGTAAATCACTTTTTATTCACGAGAACATTATTTTCGCATAATTACCCAAGACGGTCTGCACATGAAAATTTTATTCTCTCGTGTATTTTTTATTAGTATAGGTTATATAAAACATACCTGAATTCGTGAAAATTTTGTCTCACTTACAAATACCAAATACCTATCTCGCCAAAATAAAGTGTCGCGAAAATTTGGAGATCTACAGTATACCCATGTAAGACTTTGATCATCCATATTGGCTCCACCTGAAATCTTAGGTTATGATTTGAACAAACTTGAATCTATACTATGTCAGGAAGCTTTCACATGAGTTTCATCTTTTCTGGCCCTGTAGTTCTTGAGAAGAAGATTTTTAAATGACCCCACACAAATATAACTTTTTCTTAATTACCTCCACTTAGAAGAGTTCACTTGAACAAACTCAAATCCCCTTCACTCAAGGATACTTTGTGCCAAGTATGGTTAAAATAAAACCAGTGGTTCTGGAGAAAAAGATGAAATTTTGAAATGTTTACAATGACAACAAACGACAATTTTTGATCAGAAAAGCTCACTTGAGTCTTCAGCTAAGGTGAGCTAAAACTTACACAGTACATGTAACAAAATTTGTTTTCCTTTTACTTGAGCTGCATATCATACATGTAGTTATTAAAGCAATGTTTTACATTTTACTATTTTATGCACTTTAATAAGATTGTTTCTTTGAATTCTGTCTGTTTTACTGTTAGTTCAACAGATCTGTGATTAGCACAAACTTTATTATAAGGAATAAGTAATGAATTACTAAAAGAAAAAAAATATTACAAATTGAGAGAAGCATTGCATACCTTTAGCAGGGCCCATTTTGCCACTTCATACTTATCATCATTGGCTGAAGGGGCCTCTGGATCATCCAATGACCACGATTTTAAGGCATTTAAATTCACAGCCTTGCGACGTTTTAGATCAAGGTAAGTTTTTGCCTTCTGCAATTTTGCTGTGAATAAAATAAATATATTATTACTAAATGTCTTTATGTATCTGAATTGTATGAAAGGAACAATATTGCTATAGCCACAGGATTTTCACCCAAATTCAGATAAGTTGCACCAATGGCCATGAAAAAACATCCACTATATTTCATACATAATATTGAAGAGAATATTTTTTTAGGTAGTTTTCTGTATGTCAACTCTTGATGAAAAAATATTGAATGAAAGAAGTTATAAAATATTGATCGCTAACAGAGAAATTCAGTTCTGGATACAATATAATATGTATCAAATGTTACATTAATCACTGTAATATACTTCACAAAAAAAATTATTTTGTCCTTTAAAAAAATCACAGCATTCTGAAATCTTGGTGATATTAAAATAAAATTTATGGCATCACTGATGGTATCGACTTAATGATTTGCATTCCACATAGAAATATATTAAAAATATTGCTTTTTGTTTGTGACAAGAATATTTAAGATTGACACAACTGAATTTGGATGTTTGTGTTCATTATACTACCACAAACTGGGTTTGTGGAAACAGAGTGGACACCAAAACCCATGGCTTGTGATGATGATGCAAGTAAGTACAATCTTTTTTTTAAGAAAATGATTCAGACATGCATAACAGGAAAGGAGAAAAATGCAATGGACCAGACCAGATTTGAACTCAGACCCCCTGAATCTCTACAAGTCAGATGCTCTACCAACTGAGCTATCTGGCCATTGGTGATCGCACGGATCTGATCACCACATTCCTCCCTCCTTAAAGGTTTTCACCCCCCCAAAGACACCAATCTAGGCTCTTCCCTTGCATGAATTTCAACTGTCAGTTCCAGGGCATGGGAAGGCACCAATTATAACAGGAAAGTAGAAAAATGTGATGGACCAAACCAGGATTTGAACCCAGGTCCCTTGAATCTCTAATCAGGTGCTCTACCAATTGAGGTATCTGGCCATCAGAGATCGAATCCATCTGACCACCACATATGTTTAAATCCATATATATATATATAAATTATTGAAAAATTCAATGATTTGAAACAAAAAAAATTGAACTGTTATAAATTTTAAAAGTTTACAAATGCATATTGATGAATTATTAATTACATATTCGTCCTTTTCTGAAATTCTTCCCAGTAAGTGGCTCTCCAACTTCATATTTCACTGTCGACAGAATCTCATGTTGTTCTATGCTGTCTGTGATGAACTCACACCGAACAACTGGGACATTGTGTCGAACAGCTTGCCTCTGTTTGTAGGAGGATTTTTCCAGCATATCACCAAAAAGTACAACATAGTTTGTCTAGAGAAGAAAAGATTGCACTGAGTAAGCAAAATATTAATTAACTGAATTCTACAAGAGGTGATTTTTAAGCTTGTGTTGGTAATTGAAAATGCTGCGTAGTGGACTTTTCTTGTCATTGAAAAATAAAAGATATGTACAAATTGATAGTATAATATGAACCCTGATTTTCCATGCAGATACTCACCTATGAATGTTCAACATAATTTCAGTCCTTGTATGAATCAGTTAATTTTATTATTTGTTTTGACTATTCTCAACAGGAGATTGGAAAGATGAAAGGAAACAATCTATCATTAAAATCAAATTTCTTGGATCTGCACTGTATGCACTTAATGTAAGAAGATCTGACATAACCCAACTAGGGCACGTTCTAACCAGTAGCAAAGTTTAACAAGCCAAGTGGCAGCCAGAGCTCGTCAGTCTATATAATTTGGATTGAAGTCAAAAAATATTAAGAGCCGAGATGTTTTAAGATTGCAATACGCAAGCTGCTTGCAAGGCAGATGATGTAACAACAAATATGGTTTTACATATTTAACAAAAATAGTTTTGGTTTAAAGGCAATACAGCTACTTTTCTCTCGCTAGTAGATCTCGCTAGTAGATCTTTGGTGGGGCTGGCAAGTTTTAACAGCACTCAGCCATGCGTGTCTAGCTAATTTACAGTGAGTTTCAAAAACTGACTTAATAATTCACTGCAGAACATTTTGGCACCTACAGCATTTTATAACTTACCTTACGAGTAAAGACGTAGGATACAGTTCCTCCATTTTCAGTAATCTTTCTCCTCCAGCACTGCTTTACTTTGAATCGCGTCAAACTATCAAACTCCAACACAAAGGTGCAATTATGAAAAAGATTTGTGCCAGGAATAACCATATTTTAGAACTGAAGGAAAATGAACAAGATCTTTGCTTTAATAATGGTATTGCACCACAACGAAGAACAAAAGTAGAGTGAATCAGACCCGTCTCGATGTTAAAGAGGGTACATGTACAGTTAGAAACGAAACTGAAGTGACCGTCATCTCAACAACAAAAAACACGATTCTTAAAGGCCTGCTAAACATCAAACGTTAACTTTCTAGAGTTGTTTATCGTCTTAATGGTTCATCATCATTTTTGTTGACAAACGACCAGACATTTTGAGCCCGAAATAATTATTTTTGTGCTCCGATCCCGATGTTTATATAATATTAGTGCAATATTCAACCTTGCCTCAGAGAATGACATTTATGGAACCTGCCCCCCCCCCCCTCCGATGCTACGTACCTATAAAAAGTTATGAGGCACTGTTTTAGTATCTTGGGGGTATTTTCTGATCTTAAAAAAAAAATCTTGATCCATTTTGGGTCGACTTGTTTGTCTGTTTGCCAAGCTGGCTTTATAGGCAGAACATTACTGACATGCAGTCTAAGTACACGTTGCAATATGACGTGTACATAACGATAACATACATACGCTGTATGATTTTGGATATACGGTGGTACATTTAGGACAAGTAATTATTTTTTTTTTAAGATACCAGGAAATATTTATCTCGTGAAAACGAAAAATTATCTCGTGAAAACGACATAATAGCTCGTGAAAACGATTTATTTTCTCGTTTTAACGACATAATATCTCGTGAAAACGACATAATATCTCGTGAAATGACTTATTTTCTCGTTTTAACGACATAATATATCGTGAAAACGAGATAATATCTCGTTAAAACGAGATATTATCCCGTGAAAACGACAAATTATCTCGTGAAAACGAGATATTATCTCGTGAAAACGAGATAATATCTCATGAAAACGAGATATTATCTCGTGAAAACGAGATAATATCTCATGAAAGCGAGATATTATCTCGTGAAAACGAGATGTTATCTCGTGAAAACGACTTATTATCTCGTGAAAATGAAATAATGTCTCGTGGAAACGACTTATTTTCTCCTTTTCACGAGATATCATTTCGTGAAAACGAGATATTATGTCGTGAAAACGACTTATTATCTCGTGGAAACGAGAAATTATCTCGTGAAAACGAGAAATAATCTTGTGTGAATTAAATTTTAGAAAATCATATTATTTCCCAAAATTGATTATTAGTCCCCTACCGGTGAAACCGGAGGGGACTATAGGTTTCCTATGAGTCTGTCCGTCCGTCTGTCTGTCTGTCTGTCTGTCCGTCTGTCTGTCCCTCTGTCCCTCTGTCAGTCTGTCCCACTTGGTTTTCCGCACTTTTTTCCTAAACGCTTGTATATATTGAGCTGATTTTTGGTATGTGAGTGTATCTTGATGAGTTACAGATCAAGTTTGCATTTCGTTCCGCTTCATTGATTTTTGACGGAATTACGGCCTTTTCAATTTTTACGGGTTTTCCGCAATTTTCTTCTAAACGCTTGTAGATATTGAGCTGATTTTTGGTATGTGGCTTCACCTTGATTAGTTATAGATCAAGTTTGCATTTCGTCCCGCTTCATTAATTTTTGACGGAATTATGGCATTTTCAATTCTTAACGGGAACGGAACCAGATTACACTTGCCGGTAGGGGACTAGTATTGCAAATGCAATACTCTCAGAATGCTTGTTTTTCTCCAATTTCACTGACATACTTATCATATACGAATCATGCTTTCTTTCATAACCAAGTAGTTTTCTGCAGCTAGATTTGAGAAACTATCTCTACTGGTATTGTATTGTGAGCTACATTAATTAATGTTCTTCTGACAAGACAATATGCTATCCTGAAATACTTATTATTGCCTTTTCAAATCTATTTGTCAGTGATTGAGATAGATGACAATAAATATGTTAATATAATATTATATATTATTAAATAACAGTTGCATTGAGCATGTACTAAGTTACACATCCATATATAGTTACATTATAATTATACATTATATTGTATAACCCTGCGCAATTTCAATCAGAATTTCCCCTATACCTGAGCTTAAGATACAGATCAAGTTTGAGTTTCATTCCTGTTGATCAAATTAAAAAAAGTTATGACCATATTTGCCTTTTTTTTCAAACTGTTTAACATAACATATATATTTGCTGAATATCAATGTTGGTTGGGATCAAGTCTCCTTAATGCGACATTTTTAGTCCCCTACCGGTGAAACCGTAGGGGACTATAGGTTTCCTCTGAGTCTGTCCGTCCGTCTGTCTGTCTGTCTGTCCCTTTGTCTGTCTGTCAGTCTGCCCCACTTGGTTTTCCGCACTTTTTTCCTAAACGCTTGCAGATATTGAGCTGATTTCTGGAATGTGAGTGTATCTTGATGAGTTACAGATCAAGTTCACATTTCCTTCCGCTTCATTGATTTTTGACTTAATTATGGCCTTTTCAATTTTTAAGGGTTTTCTGCGATTTTCTTCTAAACGCTTTAAGATATTGAGCTGATTTTTGGTATGTGACTTTACCTTGATTACTTATAGATCAAGTTTGCATTTCGTTCCTTTTCATTCATTTTTTACGGAATTATGACATTTTCAATTCTTAATGGGAACCAGATTACACTTGCCGGTAGGGGACTAGTATTGCTAATGCAATACTCTCAGAATGCTTGTTTGATCTAGGAGCTGTAGTTTTTGTATTCTGAAATTTCTAAATATTTTTTTAATGATCTTTGAAACCAAAATGAAAGCATTCCTTAATGACATCCTCTCTTGTACACTCTTCATCCATATTTTGACAACGAATAGCAAAATACTAAATCAGGTTGTTTAATGTATGTAACAAAATTTAAATTTGAAAAAAAATATGTCGTTTTCACGAGATAATAAGTCGTTTTCACGAGATAATATCTCGTTTTCACGACATAATATCTCGTGAAACGAGAAAATATCTCGTGAAAACGAGAAAATAAGTCGTTTTCACGAGATAATATCTCGTGAAAACGAGATATTGTATCGTGAAAACGAAATAATATGTCGTTTTCACGAGATAATATGTCGTTTTCACGAGATAATAAGTCGTTTTCACGACATAATATCTCGTTTTCACGAGATAAAAATTTTTCCTGGTATATTCAAGAAAATAATTACGTGTCCTAAAAGTACCACCGTATGGATATATACTTTATGTATGTATTTTAATTATATGCTATATGTATATATTTGTTCATAGATTTAGATTATATACTATGTATATATTTATTAATATATTTAATTATATACTATATATGTATCAAATTATTTTATACGTGTCTGACATTGAGCTGATGTTTTGTTTTGATTTTCAAAAGCATGCAGGCATGACTTTGGAATTTGATAAACTATATAGGCTGAAAATGCGCTGAAATTATTTTGAAACTCGTTTTTCTATTTAGAAATTGATCTTATTACACTTTACAAATTAATTGTGTGATTTATTAATTCAATACACGTTATCATCAATCATTTAATAACTTCTGAAATATTTGTTTTGAACATATTTTATTGAATTAATCAAAAGGTTTTGCAACTTACTGGTTCCTCTCCTTAAATATAACAATATGTCATGTAAAAAATACATTAAAATATAAATAATATTTTCAAGTGATATATAAAGTGAAATATTTGTCAGTGAATTGTGTGCTATATTTTTTTTACTAAACATTTTCTGGACATTTTTTTTTTCAGATGAAGCTCAGATCATACCAATCTTCAGTTTATTCAGTTTTCGCTTATCGATAATTCTATTAATATGCTTTTGTGTGATTCTACTTAAATATTTTTTTGTATTTTTTAAATACGTTTTATAATTGATCATAATTTGTAAATATTTTTTTCAATAAAAGGTTTGAAACAACTGTGTGTTTTGTTCGTACATATTTATTTGTCCTCAAATTAAAACCCCGGAAAACCATTCCCTGATCTCGAAGTTCTATTATATTGTATCATGCATTCGATTTATTTGATGCACGCATCATTCAGTTGATAAGAGCAATAATTGATTCGAATTATTAGAAGGATTTGTTGCTCGAAAAAGTTAATTTACACAATTCTTTTTTTTTTTAAAGAGAACAACAATTTAATAATATTATTCAGTAGTAATAATAATAATTTATTTTATTACATAGTGACTTGTGTAATACATCATGAAATACTAAATATAAAAAAGACAAGTACTTTACACCCGGCGCTTTGGACCTATAAGTCACCTGGATATAAATCTTACATTTTCCCTCACGGACTAATTATGTATGTACACTGTGTGAATCGTTAACTTATTTATATAGATTATGGATATGCATGTTCAATGAAGCTATCACTTATCAAATAATTGCTCTCGCAAACAATTGTTGCGCGCATTAAACGAATTCTTTATTTCATCCAATTCCACTGAAGAGAGCACAAGTCCATCATTGCGCGTGATAATTCAATTGAAGAGAGCAAATGCTGAGTACATTAATCGAATCAAACCTCGTTATCTCGAACTCGAAGGGACCAAGAAAATACTTAGAGATAACCGAGGATTCGAGATATCTAGGGTAGAATAAAGTTGGGACTTTCAGCTAGGGTGAAAATAATCAACCGCTGTTGACTGGTTTCAGATATGGTCACTATAGGTCTTCCTATACTTAAAAGTTACAACTATCTACCACTATGACAAACAAGCATTCTGAGAGTATTGCATTAGCAATACTAGTCCCCTACCGGCAAGTGTAATCTGGTTCCGTTCCCGTTAAGAATTGAAAATGCCATAATTCCGTCAAAAATTAATGAAGCGGGACGAAATGCAAACTTGATCTATAACTAATCAAGGTAAAGCCACATACCAAAAATCAGCTCAATATCTACAAGCGTTTAGAAGAAAATTGCGGAAAACCCGTAAAAATTGAAAAAGCCGTAATTCCGTCAAAAATCAATGAAGCGGAACGAAATGCAAACTTGATCTGTAACTCATCAAGATACACTCACATACCAAAAATCAGCTCAATATCTGCAAGCGTTTAGGAAAAAAGTGCGGAAAACCAAGTGGGACAGACTGACAGACAGACAGAGGGACAGACAGACAGCTAGACAGACAGACGGACGGACAGACTCAGAGGAAACCTATAGTCCCCTCCGGTTTCACCGGTAGGGGACTAAAAACATTATCATCAGAGATAATTAATTTAAATATATTCCGCTGTGAGAAATCTTTCAAATTTTACACCGCCGGAAAGGTACAAATTAATAAGTTCCTACATGAGGCCATTCTTTGAACTTGAATCTACACCGGATGTTTGCATATTGATACGATGGTCCTGGTCCTTTATCGCGTACAACCCCATATTTGAGGGTGTAGAGTATTGATCCTCGAGAGTGCGGATTTTCAAGCAGTATTTGGAAGAATAAATACCATAATCAGCTTTGCTTCAGAGACTGAGATAAAACTAGTCAAGTATGTAATACTCCGGCGGAATATGGTTTCCGGATAGGGCCATTTGCAAAAGCTTAGCGCGTTCAGAAAAACACACCGTCGCGCTTACACACAACGCGCTGTCACGCTAACACAAGTTCGTACAACACGCCGTCGCAAAACACACAACACGCTGTCACGCTAACACAAGTTCGCACAACACGCCGTCGCGCTAACACACAACGCGCTGTCACGCTAACACAAGTTCGCACAACACGCCGTCGCGATAACACACAACACGCTTTCACGCTAACACAAGTTCACACAACACGCCATCGCGCTAACACGCTTTCAAACAACAAGCCGTCGCTCTAACACACAACACGCGCCACGGCGTGTTGTGCGAACTTGTTTTGGCGTGACAGCGTGTTGTGTGTTAGCGCGACGGCGTGTTTTTCTGAACGGGCTGTTGAGCTTTTGCAAATGGCCCTATCCGGACACCATAGAATAAAGTGTTATTCCCACTTACTGATGCTCGTTTCCCACATTGTACAATTCGTGCTCGAAAATTTTGAACACTTCAAAATTACTTGGAGACAATAGGTGGAGATTTTGATCGTTTCTTGGTGAAATTTTAGATTTTTCTCTTGTTATTCCACATCATTTAAATTATATGAGGGTATACTGCACACAGTTTCAGCAAATACTTTAATGACTTCAGGACTTGCCTCTGATATAAACAATGAACATTTCAATTTCAGCATGTACTATTCTTACATGTAAGTACAACTTTTACGGAGGTGGGGGGGGGGGATGAATCATTTTTCTGTTCATAGCATTTCAATAATGTCGATAAAAATATGTTCTGTTTGTAGTGTTCAATACATCAATTCAAATACAGATCACTTATTCGAAATGTGGGTTGTACAAGATATTAAATAACTCGACATTTAGATATATCGACGATTTTTTTTATCAATTAACAAAGTTATTCGCATTCAAATGTCGACTCGATATATCCCTGTGAACTCATTATAAAAGACACTACAGAGTTGGCAACATCTGTTTCATATTTCGATGTTTTACTGACTGTAGACGATAATGGCCAACTAATAACTATACCTTATGACAAACGATATGACTTCAGCTTTTCCATCGTCAATTTCCCTTATGTAGTAATATTCTAACATCACCTGCATATTTTGTTTATGTCTCCCAACTGATTCGATAGGCAATAGTAGCTCTGAGTACGATCAATTTTTAAACTGAGACAAGCAACTGACAAATAAGTTACTGTTACAAGCTAGGACTTCAACAACCCCGTTTAAAGTAAAGTTTTCGCAAATTTTACGGTCGTCATAATGACCTTGTTTGTAAAAACATCTTATCGTTGGGTCGTATTCTGTCTGACATGTTTCAAATCATTTGTTAGGCCATTGCGTTTGTACTGGATTTGATTGCAGAGTACCGTTTAATACATTGATCAATACATAGGGCTCACGGTGGGTGTGACCGGTCAACAGAGGATGCTTACTCCTCCAAGGCACCTGATCCCACCTATAATGTTTCCAAGAGACCGTGTTTATGCCCTGTTCATGATGTCTTTTTGTACTCGATTGATCGCTGTTCGTTATCTTTAGCTTTTACATTAGCAAAATTCAAAACTGAATGACTCAATCCACCTGCTGTGCTGTACTGGTATAGATGAATAATTTTTTTTTTTTTGTAAAATCAAAAATAAACTGTCAGTATACGAGGAGCAATTTTGGTCACTCTCTGTCATTTCTTCATTAAATCGGGATGCAGAGTATATGTCAATTAATTTCCCTTTAGTATCTTAAATCTTGTTAGTGCAAAAAAGGGAAAATGAGTAATATCAGAATATTCAGATATTTTATTTCAAATTCCAGCAGTTAAATATTTTTATGTCAACTCAAGAAACGTTTATAGTTTATAACCATAGAACGAAGTGTATTTTTTATTCAAGCCTGCTGGTCCTTGGGAGACCTCTATCCAAACCTTATCACCGTAATTTAACCTTACAACCGTCGTCTTCCTATAACGAATCCATGCATTGAATTTGTCATCACGAACATAATTCCATGATTTAGAGGAACCATTTACTACGAGAGCTGTGAATGGGAGGCCTTTCCAGCCTGAAGCTACCCAGTCGAACACATACAGTCCTCCATATGGCGCAGTGAAGATACCAGAGGAAGCGTTGTATCCTTGCCCTTCGTTCAAGTCAACCGTTTCGAACACTATCTTTGTTTTTGTAGCAAGATTACTTTTAGAGTTCTTTAATATGACGTCAAAGGCAACCATCGGTTCGCATGCATATTTTTTCGCCTTGTCTGTAAGCAAAAAAAAAAAAAAAAAACTATCCTACCAGATTTTTTAACACAAAACTATAGTCAAATTCGGTTTCTTTAACAAACATACATCAGTTTAAGATGATACATGTATGGTAATTTAGAGTCAGAATCATTCTGTTCTGACATATTTTCTGTTCTTTATAAACTTTTTTGAATTTTTTTTTTAATCTAGATATTTGGCATGTGTTTGTTTCATCATAATGCTATGACTCATGACACATTTGACCTTGACGTTTGATCATAAAATTCATTTTCCTTTTGGACTGGAAATCATCCAAAGTAGAACTCTGTCCTCTAATTTAAGTATGTTATGTCCAGCATGTTAATTGGTAGCATCATCAACGAATGTGTTAATTGTGCAATTGTAAGTTCTGCACGACACTTAACTTCGAAATTGATATCATATGGGGTATATTTTTGTGTTCTAATCAAACATTCCTAATACATGTATGCTATTGTACGTATCATAGTTATCTAAAAGAGGAAAAAAAGGATGGTGTCCTCCTTCCTTTTTGTGGTACCTTGCAAAATCTGTTTTACAAAAGAGCATCGATTGCATATTGTTTTACGAATGTCGGGTCCAGAACATGTAATGAAAAAAGAAAAAAAATATTGTTAGGTTGTCCGCCACATTTACCTGCATTAAAAATGTGGGTTATATTCATTTAAGCCTAAGACCCTTCTGTTGTCTCCCTGGAAGTCGTCAGCCTCGGGCATTTATCCCATATACATGTATTAAAGGGTACCAACCCTCTGATAAGAGAGATAACTTTCCAAGTGAAAATTACGAATACTACTCATAGTTTTCATTATCAGAGTTTCATTATCGAGACCTTGGAGTAGTCAATTCGGTGAACCCTGCTGTATGATGGAAACATTACCTTCTATTTCCTTTGCTTATACTTTTTAAATTGTTTTATTATATTTAACCAAAACAAAAAAAAACAAACAAACAAACAAACAAACAAACAAACAAACAAACAAACAAACAAAAAAAAACATTTAAATTCAGTTCTAAAAGCCTTATAAATTGAAATAAGTTTTTTATTTCCTTTTTAAGGACAATTTAAAAATGGTTTTATGTTTCAAGTACCAATTGTGGAATTTTTATTAGTATTACATTTTTATGCCCACGTATCGAAGATTTGGGGGTATATAGTTTTTGCCCTGTCCGCCCGTCTGTCTGTTTGTCCGCAAAAACTTCAACATTGCTCATAACTTTTGATTGGTTGGAGCTATGACTTTCATATTTCACATGTGTATTCCTTGTGACAAGACTTTCTTTGGGTGCCATCATATTTAACCTTTGACATTGACCTTGGAATTTGACCCAGTTTTACAAAATTTTTCCCAACTTTAATCTTGGCCATAACTTTTGAACATTTGGTGCTAAGGCTTTTATACTTCAGATGTGTAATCCTTGTGACAAGACCTTCCTTTGGATACCAACAACTTTGACCCTTTGACCTTGGAATTTGACCTACTTTTGAAAAACTTTAACATTGGCTATAACATTTGAACGGTTGATGCTAGGGCTTTCATGCTTCACGTGTGTAATCCTTGTGACAAAACCTTCCTTTGGATACTAACAACTTTGACCCTTTGACCTACGAGTTTGACCTACTTTTGAAAAATTTTAACATTGGCCATATTTTTTAATTGGTTGGTGCTAGGGCTTTCATATTTCACATGCGTATTTCTTGTGAGAAGGTCTTTCCTTGGGCACCATTATTTTTTACCTTGATGTTTGACTTACTTTTGAAAAACTTTAACCTTTTCCATATCTTTTCAATGGTTGCTGCTAGGGCTTTCATATTTTACAGGTATATTCCTCGGCACAAGACCTTACTTTGGGTATCAACATATTTGATTTGCATTTGAGAAAGTTTAACCTTCGCTATAAGTTGCCATACGGGGGCATCAGTGTTTCACAAACATCTTGTTTTCCAATGAAAAAATATTTATAAGAAAGATAACTCTTGCTAACAGATGTATTCTTTTCTTACAACTACATACAGCATTGTGATATTCTGATTTAGGAAGCAGTGCTTTATTATGTTTTCTAATATGAATTTAATAGGTATGATACATGTACTAAATATTACTTTCATATACACCTCATATTTTTGATTTTATGTTGTGATAATAAATCATTACTCTTTCTATCCTCTGTATTAAAATTTCTTCATATCATGATCCGACATAAAAGTCATATCTGAAAAAGTAAGCAGCGCTTCACACCTCATACTGTTTTCCATTTGAAGCTGAGCTGATACTATAGCTCTTGATGAAAATCAATGTTGGGAAGTTTAAAAAAAAATGTTAAATTTAGAGTAGAGGGTCATTATCCTTAAGCTACGATGTGCGACGATGTGAAGTGATCATGCAAATAAATTTTGCTTTTTCAAAAAATTCCAAACCTGCAACAGTTTTATAATCTTTTCTGACAAATCCAAGGGAACGACAAGTTTCTGCCACACTGTTGTAATCCTCCATGAATGTTTTCAGTTGTCCTGGTTTTGGTGATATTTTCTCACACCGTACGTGAATCAACAGCATCAGGATCCCCAGTAATGAACAGGTAACAGTGGTAGTCATTCTGCTAATTACAAAAAAAAATAATGATACAGTAATAAATGAATACAAAAATAAAATTAAAAAAATACTTTAAAAAACACTAAATAATATGTAATATGTACAAGATAAATGTTCTTCTTAAATGTAGGTTATTGTAAATATTGTAACTGTTAAAAACATATAGTGTATGGATAACATTTTTAAAAGAATAATATTATTACATATTAGGTTTTTGACTTTCAGACGAAAGCCTTTAACTTATTCTTCACTTTCCTTCTATACATGTATATAATGTAATAATTAAGAACAACAATTACATGTATTATTATGATTAATATTCTTGTCTAGTTTATGTCCTGGAAAATAGAATTAATCTACAAAATGTACATTTAATGCATTACAAGTACATGAACTATTATACACCATTCTTATCTATGCCAATGAAAGCAATATCAGTTAATGAAAGTTTGTTGCTATTTTAGTCTGAAAAATTTATTATTTTGATTATTACTACTTTTCTTTCAATTTGATAGTGTAATGGACTTACCTTTCACGTGAGATAACAATAATAACTCAAACTAGAGCCGAGCTCGTTGCAATGCAACGAATAGGTCTTCCGTCGGAGCTCCGGACAGGACAGAGCGACCTTGAGTCAAGGTTATGCAACATTTTAAGGTTATAAACAATCCTGTAAGGGGCATCAACTTTCAATGTTTCAACAGTAGAAAGACAGTAAAGGAATGTAAAATTCCACTGTCAGTGAACTTGAACTTGTCCAAATAACTTTGCGTCAAGCCATGACACATTCTGCAGCTGGTTAAGAGCAAACACCATCTTTATGTCACCGACATAAAAAAAATCACAGTCACGTATTCTTTCAGACTATTTATCCAAAACATCATATTCTAAGTGACCTCGAATTTAAGTCTAGGCCATTACACACTCTTGATGATATATTTATCATCTTTTCAGTGAAATGCAAATGCATGCAATTTTTTCTATTACAAAAGTATATACCGTTTTGTTTATTTGTTTGTATGTTGTTTAACGTCCCTTTCGAGAATTTTTCAATCATATGGAGACGCCACCATTTGCCGATGGAGATCTGCAAATTTTGACCTATACTCGGCACACATGGCCATTTAGCAGTGAGGGATCTTTTTCGTGTCAGCACCTACTACCAGACGGGACCTCAGTTTGTACGGTCTCATCCGAAGGATCAGTCTCTGCGTCCCACAGTGGGATTCGAACCTGCGACGTAAGGATCAACTCCATAATCCACGACTCTAGAGCAGACACTCTTACCACTGCGCCACTTGGGCGACTAGACCTTTTTGAATTTTACACTTATTACATCAGTGACCTTGAACTTGCCTAAATGACCTACGTTAAGGTCAAAAACAACCTTTGAACAAATTATGAGCTTCCAGTGATACCCAATGACAAAGATATACCTGAAAAAGAATATTGCACTTTTCTGTCAGTGACCATGAACTTGCCAGAAAGACCTTGGATCAAGGTCAAAACACATTCTTGGATCATAAGCAATCTCTGTATCAAGTAAAAGCTTCCAGTGATTTTATATAACAAAGTTATAGCATGTGGAAAAAAAATAATATTTATCTGCCAGTGATCTTGAACTTGCCGAAAAAACCTTTGTTCAAGGTCAGGACAAACCCATCTCAAGCAATCTGAGAAAAAGTTTCCTGCGTTCCTCCCACCCCTTATAAATTTATAATCCAGGCACGAATTTTGCCATTTCTTCTGCCAGTCTAGTACTATGTTATCTCAAACCGGTGGATCATAAGCAATCTTTGTTCCAAGTATGAGCTTCCAAAATTATAGCACATACAGTAATCTTACACTTTTCTGTCAGTGACCTTGAACTTACAGGAATGACCTTGGATGAAGGTCGTGTCAAACCATTTAATTTTGTCATAAGCAATTCCTGTATCAAGTATGATACTTGCTATTTTTTTCCAGTGACCTTGAACTTGCCGGAATGACATTGGATCAAAACCTTGACACACCCTCGGATCATTAGTAATCTTTGTACCAAGTTGACCTTCCAGTTTCTTCATAACAAAGTTATAATATCCTTGGCAAACTATCACGTACAGACGGACAGCTAGGCAGACGGACAGTGTGATTCCAGAAGACTCAAAACACCTCCACCCCAAACCCACACACTTCGTTTGGGGGGATATATAAATTCCTATGTTAAATTATGAACACTCTTTCCGGCCCAAACCTTCTCCCTGGAATCAATATTTGAAAAAAAAAAATGAATGTATGCTATGTTGGAAATTTTCTCATTCTAGTCCAGGGATTCTTGAGAATACTATTTTCAAATGACCCCATGCGCGGATCTAGAGGGGTTTGGGGGCAGTTAAATGTATATACTAAGCCAAGTAAAAGTGACCATGCCCCCCCCCCCCCCCTAGAAAACGCGGACCCTTCCTCGAAAACGCGGATCTGTGTTAAAATGGTATGAAAAGTCTTAGGTATGAAGCTTTAAAAGTCAGCGACCCCCCCCCCCCATACACACACACAAACACACACACGAAATTGGTTTTTCACGTTTGGGAAAAGAGTTTCTTTTTTTGGCTCGTCAAGAAATTTCTGGGTTGAAATTTTTTTTTTTTTTTTTGGGAGGCTTGGAAGGTGAGATACTTATTAAAAATTGAAATTATTTTGTCTTTTTTTTTTTTTTTTACAATCGACGGGCCTGCATTTCAAAGAGAGAGAGAGAGAGAGAGAATTTCTAGCTAGGTCTTTGAATAACAGTGACATCGGTTCAGAAAACATGGTCCCTAGGAATGTACATGTATATAAAATAGGCAGTGCCTATCTCTCTCGGAATTCATCACCTGCTTCTGTAAAGCTCCATCCTCACTTGTACTGACATGTACCTGGTAAAACCAACCGACTGCGAAAGGAAAACTTTCTATTTATTTCGAGGATGGGGGTATACGTATAGTGATGAGAGGAAATTTATTCACCTATACGTTCATTAAATATGAAAGATTGCTTCTGAGTATTTGTATACGATCGCACGACTTTCGTGTTAATTTATAAAAGTTGGATTATGTAAGCAAAGAACTAATTAACATTTGTTGTAGATGAATAAAATAATTAATTAGCCGTTTATAATTTTTTTAACATCTGTAAGAACCACTTTATTTTAAAAAACGAATAATCGTCCTATTATGGGCGCCCATGATATATTAGACAAGGTGTTTAATTAAAACATAATTCAGATATCGACATCCAGGAGAACAACACATTCTTTTTCAGTGGCGGATACAGGAGTCTTGAAAAGGGGGCCCGACCAGTTTTGTGTCGGGGTAGGGGCCCAAACCCACATAAAAAAATTGATTTATTAAATCTTGTGTATATTTTGGATACAAAAGAGGGCAGGCCCCCTGAACCTCCTCTAAATCTGCCAGCGTTTTTTTTTTTTTTTTTTTTTTTTTTTTTTCATTATCTATCAAACGCGTTGACAAAGTCAAAAAGACGGTTTTAGTTTTTTAGGGCATTTTTACAGTGATATGAGAAAAGTCTGATAATTGCTGTTAATTTTAAGAAATAAAGTTCGTCATTTTTCAACCTCGTTCGGTATAATATAATTTAATGATAATTTTTTCCGTTAAGGAGGAACACATGGACGAAGGATAAAAAAGCAGAATTCTGCATGTACATGTACACATCATTGCTATAATTGTGTACTCGGGATTAAACCCCAAATCCTTCGTTACATTGTATTTGGGTATAATTTTCACATGTTCTCAGGCGGATAATCATTTATTTTTATCTGTCTAAAGACAATAATTTCAGTTAATAGAGAAATGTTTTTATTTCGTCGTTTTTTCCCATCCTTTTGGTTTACACGTTTGCTTTGTACACAAAAGCGTGTGTTCATGCACCGCTGTTTCTACACGCTATCGATGTGATCAGGGAGAACATGATATCATCCAGCAATTTACTTCTTATGAAAACACTTAATGAAAACATATTAGGTGAAAATATATATACCCGTTAGTATCTTAGTACCTGAGTATCGACCTGTTTAATTGCAGTGTCACCAACCGTAACGATCGCTGGCCAGGACTTGAATATAATTTATTACCGTTATTAAAACAACTCGTCAGCTGAGCGGACCTATGATTTAAACAGTAAAATAGGGAAATTCCAGAGTTCGAAGTGTATTTATTTTGGGCGCTCTTCCACATAAACATTTACGCGTACTTACATGCATGTAATTCGTGTCATGGGTAAATTCAGTTTATTAGATGAGATAAAACAAATGCATAAGATTAATCTTCCTAAACAACACGTTTTTAAAATAATCTGTCTGATATAAGGGACGGTATAAAATAACAAAGAAAATAACGGGTTTGTGTTTGTATTTAATTTAAAATGAGAACAAATCTTAACCTGTCAAATCATTTATTTTCCAGACACTAATTGCCATGCGTAATCTTCACATGCACTGACCAAGAGGTCACAAGTTCGAAATGTATGGCTTCTCATTGCGTGAATTTTGTCAACACATGTCGGAACAAACTATCTAAGCCAATTGCTTCCCAAAGAAAACTGCATAGGAAGGGTTTTTTGGTACACTTTTTAACGGGTAAAATTCTTTCGACGCTCGATAGAATTTTCAAATACAAGTGAAATATTTAGCTTACTTGCGTCCGACCTAGTATTTTGTATGCAATAATATTGTAAGTTAGGAAGAAAATAATACAAACTCAAAAGTACTTAATTTTATTTTCGATTTTCCTGACAATTAAAAATGTGACCTCTACGTACAATTATCGTGATAATTACATACATGCTGTTTAATGTTCATGAAAGAAATAGCAACTTGTTAAATAATAACGTTAGAGAGATAAATAAACTGTTTCTTTAATACACAAACAAAGTGGTCTTTTCGGCATTCAAAATGCATTGAATTTGAAGTGAATAAGTGAAAGGCAGTTAAGACTAGCTGATTAAAACGAGCGAGTGATAAACAG